GGGAGAGCAGTACCACTTATAGCCACTAGATGGCAGCATAGTAGTAGTAGCTGTATGGTATGCCTTTGTATCATGTAATAAGTAAACGTGGCTATAATGACAAATTCAAAAAAGTTTAAGACAAAAAGAACTGGTCTTTATTTATTAGACTTTATGAAAGGGATGACTGAAAATCTTCACCTATTAATGACACAATCGGCTTGCCATATACCCCACCTTCGTTCTGCTCGCTGTTTGGAGCAACCTCAGCTTCATTTTGCTGCACTGCCTCGGTGAAATGCAGCTAATTTGACCATTAAAGTCCTTTTATTGAGCAAAAGTTCAACTGAGACAAAACCTTTACTATAAAGTCGAGCAAACAAATAATTGTTTTTAGGTGGTTATCTTGTTAAATTTGCACAGATACTCATTGCACACACGCATTTACTTCCACGTATCAGGTTTTGAAATGCAGCTGATTTGACCGTCAAAGTGCATTTATTAAGCAAAAAATACACACACACATTTACAATAATTTTGATTTAAAAAAAATAATTGTTTTTAAGTGTTAATCTGGTTAAATTCTTGTTAAAGTCTTCCCATGCACACTCCCGCATCCGCCATTTGACAGCCGATCGATTTTTGGCACAACACCGGATTACATTTCTGGGTTGTCAGTGGTGATGCGTAACAAATGTGACGTCAGCGGTGACGCATAATAGATGCGACGTATACAGCGAAGCGACATATTTTTAGATTTTTCCCATTTTTAAGACATATTTGGGCTGATGTGACTTATGTGGCGGTGCGACAAGTACGGCGGAAATTACGGTATTTAAAGGAGGGGTGGACAGAGCAAGCTGCTTTAAAACACCGAGAACGAACAAGTGGTTAACCTCAACGCAGTGCTCGTAATGTCTCTGCACAATTATTTCTGAAAGCTGAAACCTGCAGAAAAAATGAACTCATTTCCACGATGAGCCACAGTGGGCTTTGGAGCAAGAAGTCACCACAGTCCATTACTGTCTGTTCAGTTGGGAATCCTAACGAGACTCAGTTTCATAGTTTTGGACAAAACGCCTTGTCAAGATACTCAAAGCTCTTTACAACACAATATGTGTCCTCATTTATCCATTCATACAGCACTCTACTAGATCTGTACAAAGAATAATCAGTGGTTTACCACATTCATACACCGATGGGACACACATCGGAGGCAATGAGGGCTTTAGTTTCTTGCCCAGGGACACTTCAGCATGTGACTGCTGGTGGAATCAAACCACCAACTCTTCCATTGGAGGACGACTGCTGTAACCACTCAGCCACAGCCGCCCCAAACTTGAGAGTACTGCATGACACACATTATATGCCCATCGACAAACAACTATACAGCAAACTATATCAACAGCTAAGACCTTGTAAAATCTTTGACCTTAATTTGTGACCTTGACCTTAGAGTTGGTGTGATGAAAGGATTACACAAACAAGTTTAGGGAGGATGCATGTGTCTATAAAGCTGCATTAAATAAGTCATGGAGCAGATAAATAAGATTACAGAGTAAACATCCAAACTGAGCTCTGCTTCCACTGATTGCTGAATAAAATCAACTTGTTTACTTCGTTAAGGAGTCTGTGTTTTAAGAGCTGACAGATGATTGTGAAACGATGTTGAGTCACAGCGATGACGTCGCAGATGATTCATGAGGAAAAACTCCGGTGTGGCTTCACTTTGTGCACTTCTTGTAAAAATTGTGAGCCGTTTTATATTTGGCTGCTGTCTGTCAAAATTAAGTTAGTCGATCGAAAAGCTCGTCTTTAACATGGGACCTTGTGCGCCTTAGCTGAGCTTAAAACAACACCAGGGTCCATCCATTACATTTTACCTGCTTCTTCCTTTTCGAGTCACGTGTCCAAATGTCTAAATTGAAGCCTTGAAGGTGTTTAAAGCAACAAAAGACAGCTGCTGTTTTTTCCCCTTTGGCTCTTCACCCAGCTGACTATGCTACAATAAACTGACTCGAGAGATTCTTTTTAAACAATTATTTATCTTGAGAGATTAATATCTTGTCTTTTTTTTTTATTATGATTAAATTAATGAATCAAAACTTACAGTATGTTTGCGAATTGTACATTTATTCACAAATAAAATCTCTTGAAAGAGAATTGAAGTCTAGCGATAATAAAGCAAAAAGTCCATCATCTGATGGACTCCTAGTTGTCGGTGGTCGATACATTCATCCAGTTACACAATCCTACTTCTGACCAGAACACTTCTTTGGTAAATTCCCTGAACGTTAAAATATTTTGCCACATCTGAGCAGCGATTACCTTTGGCGTTACAGTTTCCAGCAGGTTCAGCGCCTGACTGAAGGCCTGCTCTGCGTTGCGGCTTCGGAGGTCGTAGAGGGCAGAGTGAGCGTCCTGCACCAAAGATCTCAGCTCTTTACAAAGCTCTGCTTTACTCCGATCAACCACCACCTGGTTCTGAGGAGGAAAATACACAAGTCAGCTTTTTCATTTCATTTAAACCAATTATTAGGGGTTATTTATGTCATCTGAACAATCTCTTACCTCTTGACCAACTGCGCGCTTTAATTTCTTCTTCGTTGGGGTGTTTAACTCTCCCTTCTCACTGAAATCACAGAATTTCAATTAATTTTAGACGCCTGCAGCAAAATGCTTGAAATTCGTCAACTTTACAAGAGACCAAAGAAGGTTTCTAAACATAGAACGGGGTCAAACGTTTGAGAGGTGACAGCTGCAGCCCACATATTACAAATATCTAAACCGTAGAAGCAGAAATCTTCCTGCAGTTGGACATTTTACATAAAAGTGTACATTTGATAACGGCGCCTCCACTTACCTTTTTGATGGCGTTGAGACTTTAGGTTTGCTCGGCGACTGTGCAGAGTTTTCGGTTTTCACTGAGAAGACAATTGTTTTTTATTTTACCAATTTTCTAAACACCAAGATTTCTAAAGACAATTTCCTCTGCTCTGCATGGTTCGGATGCTAAAGCGGACAGAAACGACAGCTCGGACCTGTTGCAAGACGTTTACGAATACAGAAACACCTTCCCAACTTTGAGACACCAAAAGAGTTTGTTACAAAACATTCTTTTTTTTTTTAAAGGGTGGCTAAATAATGAAATGTGTAGTGAACTAGGCCTGATGTCAAAACCTTGACCTTAGGCACCTTATGGGACAGAAACTGTCATTTCATTGATTTGAATCCAGAAATACAGGTTGACCCATCCTGAGACTTTCTTTCTTGAATTGATCAAGTGAAAGAACTCTCTTTTCTATTATCATTACCATTTTACAAATGTTTGATAATCAAATTGTGTTAGTTCAAACAATGTTTAAATGTTGAAGTGAACTACTCATTTTTAAATCAACTGTGAAACAGTAATAACGATTTTTAATCCTCATTCAAAGTAGAAATCAGGTTAATGATGCATTGTCTGATTTTCTGTCTTCAATGAGCAAGTGTGTAAGTTGGTCAAAGTTCAAGTTTCGGTCAACTGCAAGTTTACTGAAAAAGAAATGTCATGTTTAACTTTTACAGCAAGATACTAGAGAAGTGACTCCACGAAGTCTGAGTTCTTCATAACAATCTTCTGTCTGTTCTTAAACAATCTTAATCTTTTTCCTTGACTTTTCATAACACCTTACATCACAAAACACACCTCTGTTTTGGTCCATCGACCAATCAGAAACTCCCAAATGAACCGGAAATAGAGCTCTTTAAATGTTGGTACTTTCTAGTTCAATCCAGTTAGAGTTGGAGTAGATGGAGAGTTCTGCAAGAGGTTCCACCTCCAGTTGAGTCGGGTGGAGAGTTTTTGCAGCTCCAGTCGTTTGGGAGAACAGAAGTCCAGCCATGATTCAAAGCTCTTCCGAGTCTTTTGGGATTATGACATCTTCCACCTCTGAGTGGAACTTCTGAAGGACTCCACTCATGTGAGTCCACCGTGAGCTGAACTGTTGTTGATGAAGTACCGCCACCACTCCGGACGGTTCTCTGCCATCCTACGGAGACGCTGGACCGGTAGCGTAACCAGAGCTCCGTTTCCACTGATTCATCGTCAGAGAGGTAATGAGTCGAGTTGACTACCGAGCGTACCGAGGAAAGCTGGGTCGAATGGAGGGTGTCGTTCTGTCCAACACTTTTCACTCACACACACACCATCTCCCTCCCTCTAAACTTCAATCTTTAAACTCTTCTATCTGCTAAGAAATTAATCCAGATATTTTTAGAAATGTCTGAAGCAAAGTTTTTCAACCACCGCCGTGTGGTTAATGTCTGTTGTACTGCTGGAAGTGAGAAAACAATCGCCGTATTGTTTACTTCCTGTAAAACTGATTAATAAGCTGTCGTTATTTTCAATTCTTGCCAATTAATGTAAATGTGTGATGTGTTAAACTTGATTCTGTTAATAAATGACCCACTGTCGTTGGTGAGTCAAAGAGAATTAACGTTTCCGTCCACATTTTATTAAATTCAGATGCACGTCATTATACAGTCCAGAAAAATGAAAGAATCCGTTTAATTTATGAATATATATCAGCATATGTTCATACTACAAATGCTTCTGCTCAATCTGAACTTTAAACAGTAACCCAAAGACCAAAGTTTGATACTTCATTATACAAAATGTTACAATATAAACAAACAAACTGTAACGAGTGTTTGCTTTGATAACTCTGACCTCGACTCGATGTAAAATAAAAAGCTACACTGAAGCGAACGTCTGATTAATGAGATTTAAAAAGTTAAAAACACTCAAATCCATCTTCTTCGCACTGGGCCAAGTGCTGCTGTGAGAAAACACTTTGTATCAGATACCAAATACCTTCCACTGTGGCCCAAATCCCCTTTCGTACAAATCTAAAACTTGGATTTTCAGAACGTCGATTACATGATGCAACTGCAAGAATTTGTGCAGTAAATCGTATTTTTCCGTTGTAACTTTTAGCAAAATCTTCTTTCGGATTTTAATTCTTCAGGGGCCTCCACAGCGAGTCATCCTCCTCCATCTCACTCTGTCCTCCGTCCTCACTCCATGTCCCATCCAAATATAGCAAAATGCAGATTAATAAAAATACGCGCCCGTTTCTGATGGGAGAGATCGTTTGATCGACATACTCGTCATCTGTAAGGAACTGTCACAGTACAAATATGCGTCTCGTTACACTTGTTTTCTACACATTCAATTAAATCCACATGTTCAAACTCTAACGAACAGCAGCTGGAGGCTTTGGATGAAAACATGACCTCAGAGACTACGTTTTGAAAATAGAGCTCGTTATGGTTTCCAGTTATCAGGCTCCTCTCTTGTGGAACCAACTTCCAGTTTCTGTCCGTGAGGCTGACATGTCCGGTTCTAAGACTGAGACTTTCCTTTTAGGTAAATCCTATAGTTAGGGCCAGCTTGTTATGCTGCTATAGGTTTAAGACTACTGGAGGACAAACTGACCTCATTTCCTCACTCTGCTGCCGTCTTGCTCTACTGTTTGTATTTATAATTATTTCTATCTTCACATGGTTTTTTTGCCTTTCCTCCAATAAAGTACACCTGGACCCGTCGTTCTGTGATTGTTGGTTTCTCCTTCCTGTCCTCTCAAACCCCCGCAGGTCAAAGCAGATGGCCACTCGTCCTGAGCCTGGTTCTGCTGGAGGTTTCTTCCTGATAAAATGAGTTTTTCCTTTCCACTGTTGCCTTTGTGCTCAAGACTGTGACAAAGTGTTGATTCAACACGACCTGCATCTTCCGTAGATAAATTTACTAATCGGATTTTATAATGTATGTGAATGTTTCTGTTCCGTGCCCTGAGACAACTTCTGTTGTGACTTGGTGCTTTATAAATAAACTGAGTTGAAATCGGTTTCAAACGCACTCACCCGTCTTTTGGTTCTTTTTCATGTCTTTGACCTGCAGCAACAAAAACATTAGTTCTAAATTAAAGCAATTAATCAAAGCAGCAACCATTAATGGTGAAATATAAAGGTACAAAAAAGTAACATTTTTACAACGGCAATTATTTTATACACGTACGAAAAGAAAAAGAATGATGAATTAAAATATAAACTGACATTTTTTTTTTCATTTAAATACCAAATTAAAAACTGAAAAACAGTCAAACCACATTTAAAATAAAATAAATTCAACTATTCCTTTTACAGGCGAGGTTCACTGTTGATTTCTTTTTGTGATATTCTCTAAATTTATTTGTACATTTTACCGTCCTTTTTTACCTTTAAAATAATTAATCTGGAACAGCACTTTTGATTACAACACATTTCTTTTCACATAAATTGTCAGTATTTGTTTTAACGATCTTAAGGTTATTATGAAGTAGATCAGCTAAAAACTAGGTAATATACACATGAAATAAAAAAGCTCTGAACATTCAAAGTAGGCCTATCGCTAACAAATTTTGCTGGGCGATTATCTCAGAAATTATTGCGATAAACGATAATATTGATTGAAATTTGACAATTAGTAATTTTTGTCAAATTTAAGAAGAATTGTTGGTTAATTTGTTTTGAGTGTAGTACCTTTTTTTGTACTACACTCAAAACAAATTAACATTTTTCCCCCGAGGTCGGCCTGTTAGCTTAGCTCGTAGCTTAGCTTCTCAGCTTAGCTGCTTTGAAAGATACAAATACGAGATTTTGGACGGGTGAAAAGGATTTTAAAGAGAAAAGAGGGGGGTTTGAGTGAAGAGCACCAGAGTTGAGCCATGTCTTCAGTAGAAAGAGACACGAAGAAACAATAAAGCCGATAAATGAAAATGAGGTTGATAATTTGCATCTATCATGCGATTGATTGATTTATTGTTTATCGTGACAGGCCTAATTCAAAGTCCAAAATTATTTGCACTAATAGCCCCAAATCTAGTAAAGTTAAAGGAATCTAAAAAAAAAAAAAGCTTTCATAATTGCATTAAAGTATAATTTCTAGCACTGCTACCATTTCCATCACAAACTAAATTTAATTTGGTACAAAACTTCCATCATCTTCTACTTGCTTCTTCCTTTTTGAGTCACAAGGGTCATTGGTGCCCATGTCCAGCAGTCACTGTGCGAGAGGCGGGTACACCCTGGACATGTCTCCAGTCCATCACAGGGACAGAGACAAACGAGACAAACAACCATTCACTCTCTCACTCACACCTAGAGACAGAGTTACCAATCAGTCCAACTTATTTAGCCTAAAACCAGCAGTGTTATGATGCGCCGGTTCCACAAACTCAATAATTTAGCTTTAATGCGATCATCACTCACCTTTGTGGGTTTTGCTCGATCACTTCTGGCACCACTTTTTGTCGACTGCGGTTGGCTAAAACACAACACCAGCTTTAAAACTCCTCAAAAAGTAAAAATGCTCAACACCTAATAACGAACGATCATTTCCGTACAGTGCGTACGAGGAAACGAGCAGAGAGACTTACCTCTGCTCTGGTTTTGACATCTCAGCTGAAAGAGAAGCACAGTTTCAATATTCAGGAAATGAAAGTGAGTCACTTCCACTATCAGGCAACAATCAGGCAGGTTAAACAGAAAACTGATAAACAGTCTGGTTTAACTTCAATTGGCCTTTATATTCACAGCACGAGATGACCAGCTGCAGTTGTTACAGAAATGTGTTGCTTTATGTGAAGTGGAAAGGGTCTGACCAAGCTCAAGCCTCTGGTATTGCTGTTCCAGGTCTTCGAGTCCATCTGGGTTGTCTTTGCACAGCAACCTGGCGGTCTCGTTGGCTTCTAAAGCTATCTGGTACTGGTCCAGGTGAAACAAAGCTTCACAGTACCGGTAGTGACCCTGAAAACGGAATCAAAAGCTTCAGTTTCTGAATCACACCTGACGTTCATTACTGCTAAAAGCATTTTAACAGGGTAAAAAAAAAAAAAATACTTTTGTTAACTTAACATTCCTTTCCTGTCAAGCAATTTGTTAGCGCTTAATCCATGTGTTGAAGCTAACTCTCAGCTACTACCACACCAAAGTTTAGCTCACCAGCTGTAAAACTGACTCGGTTACAAACTTTTTTGTGTCCACTAGCTGTAACAGCCATCTTGAACCGAGATGACTCCAAAACTTAGCGAGCTGTAGACTGACATCCAGTGATTCCTTTGAGTTTCACTAAAACTGGTCCAGTGGTTCATCAAATATTTTGCTAACAGACATAACTGACCATAACGGCAACAAAGTCCATACTCAATAATCCAGGTATACAATCCAACATTTTTCAGTCAGGTCATCTGGACAGTTTCTTTTTTTTTTTTGTGCTGAAATGTTTCGCCTTCAATCCAGAAGGCTTCATCAGTCAAAAAAAAAAAAAACAACACACAACAAAACTGATTGCATCCCATAAATACTAGACCATAACAGCATTTAAAAACAGATCTTGCACAATCGGTTAGTGCTCAGAGTTTGTGTTGGGAACGGCTCTTAGCTTTTACCACACAAGTTTTACCTCAATATCTGAAAGATTAGCCGAGTTGTAGCCACATTCAAGTTTGCTAAGGATGCTTGGCTGCGGCGGCCATCTTGAGCTGGGTTGACTCCAAAAGGTAATTAGCTAAAGATGTACACCGATTGCATAAATAAAATCTGTCAGCTGATTTTTAAGATATTTTGCCAACACTAACACAAAAACAATTTTGCCTTTGGCAGCAGACAAACCTTGATAAGTTAGAAAGAAGGTTTTAAAGACCTGACAAACAAAAGCATCCTTGATCAAAATATTTTAAATTAGAACATTAAAAGTCTATTCTTTTACAAAAATAAAAAGTTGTCCGAGTGTCCGTTTGCTGCAGTAAAAGTGTGCAACCAGATCAGAACAGAGATGAGTACCTTTGCCCAGAGTGGCTGGATGAGAACGGCACATTTTCCATCAACCGCTGCTTTTCTAAAAGGGGGCAAAGCAAAAAATTACTTTTTACTTATTGGATAGAAGAAAAAAAAAAAAATCACATTTTAATATATCATACATAAGAACTAAAATAATTAAAGGCAGTCTTGTGGACGTGAGGCTGATTTATTCATGATGAAGATGCTTTAGGTCGTGTGACGGGAGGACGGAGCAGAAGACGGAGCAGCCGGGCCTCATATGCAGAAACGAGATAATTAAAGACGCCGAGCAGAAAGACAAAGCTCCTAATTTCCTGCTCTGTCTACATCTATGGTCATGGAGGTGTGGATCACCACCGGAAGAATGACATTCTGAATACAGGCAGATAAAACAAGTCTCCTCTGTTGGATGGCTGGGCTCAGCCTTAGAGATAAGGTGAGGAGATGGACAAATAAATGTTTTATTCATGTTTAAGGTTCATAAATAGCGTATTGGGCACTGACATGATGGAATTTAACTACGACTGTTCTCAACATTACAAGCTGTATGATGTTAGTGTCAAAGGAACTTGGGTAAAGGTTATAGAAGTTTATTAGTAACTAAGGTTAAATTGATGTATGATAGAGTTGTTTCGTCTCCTCAAGGGAGGAGCCTGCAGGCGCACGGAGGAGCACCGATAACTCCAAAGCCTCCTCTTCATCTGTAAGCTGGAAAGCAGAGGTGGCCTTGACCTCGTCTGTCTGATAATGTGGATTAAAGCTCTTCCTGCCTCTGTCCGGCGCAGGTTCTCACTGATGAGGCCAAAAGCATGTACCTCTAGTTTTTGTACATCTGTGAAAGCATCCTCGTGACTTCTACCCTTGCAAGTAAAGACCGGCGTAAAAATCTTCTCGTATCCTCAGAGTGGCTTATTTGAGTAAAGAGATGATGAAAGGATATTTATTCGATCCAACAGACGGTATGCCGTCTCTGAAAGATTTGAACAGTGAATGTTTGTAGTTTTTAAGACCAGTGTATTTCTGGACTCGATTTGAACTGGGAATGTGAATAAAACTCGAGTTAGAAGTGCGTAGAAGTAGTGAGGTTTCTTTTCTTCTTATTATTATTATTATTTACTCGAGGTGGCGCAGAGTGATGGAGCCTGACGAGTGGAAGAAGCAATTTCCTCTTCTACCAGGTGCAATGGCGGAGCCAGGGGGTGGACAATGGTGGCCTCAAGCCACCATAAATTAATTTTCAGCCACCCCAATCATTTGAAAATTGAACTGCCACATCAAAATCCAAAATGGCTAATGCAATCAATTTTCAAAAGAAACCTCGCTTCCATCTAGACCAGGGGTCTGCAACCTGTGGCTCTGGGGCCACAAGCGGCTCTTTGGTCCCTCTGCAGCGGCTCCTTGAAGCTTTGACCAAAACTTCACATGAAACTGAATTTATTGGTTTTTATACCCACAACAGAAGAAACTAGTTTTACCAATTTTCCTGCAAACTTTCTACAAATGTGTGAATAAAGCTACCAATACAAGAAAACGTGGATTAGATTTAGTCACTTCATTTATCCAACGTCCAGCTTTATGGTGGGATCTTTGGAATACCTTTAAGACCGATTGCTTCGAACAAATACGGTACATTTGATAACTGTCAAAATATTTTAAAAAGTCAAACTAAATAAAAGCATTTATCAATTAAAAGGTTCAATAAATCACAATTATACGGAAGCGGATTAGGGCCACAGTTTACTATTTTAATTGAAATGTTCAGAATTATGACTAACTTTAAATTCTGAGAAAAGTAAAGTCAGAATTCAGGAGATTTTTTTTTATTGAACTGTGGACATAATCCTCTTCCAAACTCATGTTAACGTTATGCTTTATTACTCCTAGTGAGATAATTATTTTCCCACAAATAAAAGGTGGGCTCATCACGGCCCGCAGAGTTCAACGTTTCAATTTGCTATCAAAATTTGGTTAAACTATTATTTTATTTTCCTTCTTTGCATAAATACTGTATTTTCTTTTGTCCTAAAATGTAAAAATATAAAATAAAACTCCTCATATACTTTTAATTTTATAATGTCACCCCCACAAGCTGGAACCCCTACTCCAACAATCTCGAAGTGGCCCATGGGCCATCAGTTGATAATCCCAGATGTAGTCGGTTTCACGGCTTCACATTTTATTTCCTGAGTCAAGGAGCAGAAATGGCTCTTTTGATTGAACAGGTTGCAGACCCCAATCTAGATGCACACAAACCCAAACCCACAAACCAAAAAGGAAGTCTGGACTTCACTTTTTTTTTTGCGCTCACAACATTCACGGATGTACGGAGAGCATCTCATATTCCCCCTTTCTGCTCCGAGGAGGCGGACAATAAGACCCTGCAGTTTCCATGACCTCTATAAAATACTGTTTACATGCAGAAGTGTTTTGAGGGGAATTTTCTGTTTTCTTGTAAAAATGGTACATCATGTTGAAACATGCCCGTGCAAACTGTCCTTTAAAAATGTAAATATAAAATATACATCGTTGGTATAATGTGATGAGAACAACAATAAAGAAACCTTGACCTCGACTTTCTACACATTGGTAAGAAAGAAAATAAAAATGTTAAATTAAAGGATTTTAGTCATGTGACAAGTTGATCGGCTTCTTTGATTCTTCAAACTTTCATATTTAGAAGTGAGAAACAGAAAATACTTACAGATACTCCTTAATCTTGATGTAGCACAGGGCTCTGTTTCCATAAAGAATGTGGTTGTCAGGACTAGGAAAGAAAAATGAGTTGTGTAAATTATATAAACAACTTTACCATAGCACGCCCTTTTGGGGAGCATGTCAAACATGTTTGCGTTGCCTTTCTAATTTTTCTTCTCCTCAAATGAACTGATTTAAAATACAGTCAACAAACAATAATAATACAACTTCAATAAAAGGTATGTAAATGACTTGTTAACAAAACCATAAGTTTACGTAAAGATATTTTTGGACAGTAGTCGTCAAAGTTCGGGCAAATAAGTTCTTAAGATACCTAGACATCAACTAGTGGGTAAAACAAGATTACTTAAAGCCCATTTTATTGTTTCAAAGAATAAAAACAGTAGTCATGAAATAAATATAAACAGGTACTGTGGATGTTAAATAGTTAGTCTCGTCATGTCAAATCTAAAAAACTTTAGTTACACAAGTAATATTAAAAGAGTACTTACTAAAACTGGATGGCTTTGGAATAATATTTTACAGCTTGTTCATAAAGTTGTTTCTTAAAATATTCATTTCCTATCTTCTTCATGCTTTCACTTTGCTGAAAGAAGAATAAACACATTAAAATGGGCATCCAAATCTTTTGCACGTCACAAATATACTAAAAAGCATTAAATATCAACAGTCTGTTTATTGTGCAAATTCAACCTCGTAATAAAAATATTTCATGCAACAACCAACACATTCCCTCTCAAACTTTTCTTTATAGAAAAAACAACTGTAATTGCCGGTATACAAGCAGCTTTTTTCACATACTTTGGACACCGTGGCTCATACAATATAATGTTTTCTTTATTTTTATGTTTACTGCATTTTATTTTTCCTCCACAGGCTAACGAGCTTACTGCTGCCAAAAACGTTTACGGGTAGGTTCGTCGCACCTGGGCGCTTCCGTAGCTGCTCAACACGCGCCTCTCTTGGAAGAAACGTTTCTACATTTTTGTTGTTGTTTTGCTTTTTGAATGTCTAGAGGACCAGATTTAACTTTTTTAGATAATTCAATTAGGTTTTAAACTCATAAGGTGTTTAAACAAAACTTAAACATGTAATCTTTTTTTTTTTTTAAGCCACATAAAAAAGTGCACCTATAAAGGATTTTAGGCTAACGTACAAATGCTGAGCTAGAAAATCAATTTTAAGTAAATTAATATTTTCTCCACAAAGAATAAATGCTTTAAAAAAAGTCATATTTGCATTTCTATTTAAACTTATGAAACGTTACCATTAACCAAAGAAAAATGAAATATTTACGGGCCCAAAGCTCTGAGGATCGTGTTGTCGAGTCTTACCCCTAAAGAAAGTTCATCGGGTTCAACCATCAGATCCGCCAGCGTTTTCTTCACGTTGTGGCTCATTTCCTGAATAAACCTGGCAACTGAAAAATAAATTAAATGGTTACATTAATTACTTGAAGAAACATTTGTGCTTTTAACAACCAGAAAACTGCACAAATCCTGTTGTGCAGTGAAAGGAACCAGAGCTCCATGGTGTCTTACACTCAGAGAAGATGAAGTTGAGGGTCAAGAGGGAGTTGGGAATGCCGAGGATCGCCAGGTGATGGCGTATAAAAGGATCCTTCGATTTCTCCAAAACTTTCAACGCTTTCTTTAAAGTATTCGAACAAAACTGCTGTGGGAGAGAATCACCGTAGAGTTTACACTCGACCGACGACAAATTTAATCCTCCGTTAAGTGTTCGTTCAAATGTTTCTACTTTATTTTTTCATCGGTTATTTTAACACAAAATTAATCTGTAAAGCAGCGTGTGATCGGTTTTCTTTCATTTCCTCCAAGACTTACCATATTCATCTGGTCACAGTAGAAAAGCACTTTGGGAACGTCCTTCTCCAGCTGAAACAGAACAAGACTAATCAAAATCAATGTTTTAAAAAAGGTTAAACATTAAAATTGCAAATGTTAAGCCTATATTTTTGATTTATTGTATTGTTTCATGAATGTTTACCGATAGGGCTGGGCGATATGGACCAAAATTAGTAGATATTTTTAAGATGAATATCGCCATTCATCTTAAAAATGTCTACTAATTTTGGTACGATAATTTAATTAGAGATAAATTAAATTTGGTACAATACGATATAAATGTTTTTTTTTCTTTCCATAAATTAATAACAAACAAACAAAAATATATTTGATTCAAAGATTAGTCCCAACTGTCACGCAGGCACCTTTATTAACAAAGAGCTGTAACTGTACAAAAATGTAAAAAAAAAAAAAAAAAAAAAAAACAGTTTTTTAATGCATAAAACAAAAAACAGCTTAAAATTTAAACAGAAAAAACACACAGAGCAAAAGGAATGAAAGGGTGAATCGCTCTTTAAAAAGTCTGATTCTAAGGAGGTAAATTAATTTTATTTAACAACAATAAATAATAATAATAAATAAATTTATTAACACATCTGTTAGAAAGCCCACATTGTTGTGTAGGTGGCTTGTTTACTGAGCTTGGTTCTGTTTGGTTATGGCTGCTTTCTGAATTTCATGGTTCCTATGCTCTTGAATGCACCGTGGCTGCTCCGACGCTACTGAATGCAGCACCGCTCTGTGTAAAGTGCTGCGCATTAGATATTTTTCTCTTTTGACACAGACGGAGCTTTGCTGTTTGAGCATCTGTTTGTGTTAAGACCAGAAGAAACAAGAAAGAAGGTATTTGTGTGTAAATACCAGAACAAACAGAAAATAAATCACCCCAACTAAGCTGGATATATGTCCGTGTTTGGTGCTCTAACAGTTAATTTCCTGGAGAACACCCAGTCATGTTCACACCAATCAGGAATTTACATCCATGTCACCAGTCTTGACTGTGAGTCAACAAACACCTATTGTGATGACTGATAATCTGCATACGCATCTAATCTAGCTTGGAGCTGCAGCAGTTTTACACAGCAGGTGGCGGCCGGGGGGGGGCTGGGTGTGTATTAAGTGAGGGAGAGGAGGAGGGGTCACGTGAAGACAGACTGGGAGAATGACAAGATTTTCAAAGTTAATTACAGCTACGTAGAGTAGGACAGTTTTTAATCGAGTCTTAGACCCTGTACACACGTAGCCGGATATCAGGAAAACCGAATAGTTTATCATGCGGTGTGGCCTTTCATCCACACGTGAACTCCGGTTGATGCAACTATAAACGAATAATAACAAAAACTCCGACCAAAGTGGAGATTTGAGAAATCTCCTCTTTCGGGTTTGCGTGTGGACTTTCGGAACCGGAGATATGCGCATTATGTCTGCGACAGATGGTGCAGCGCGGCGCTGACGTCACATGTGCGACAATTGTTTTTGTTTGCCCATTCATTCAAAAAGCGCTAAAATATCAACATACTTGTTCTGACAGGATTCCCAGCCTGAGTTTTATTAACTTTGTACTCCAACACGGTATTTAATAGTAGTTCAACCTCGCGGTCTGTCCACACAAACGAACCTCCAGGCGCCATGATTCAATACTAACAGGAAGTTGTGGTTGCTTTGAAGGGTTGTGATTGGCTGATATACGTTTCACCTTTGCACTACACTGCCTCCTATGGGTTGGGCATATTCTTTACAACGCTCTGTGGTGAACATCACCGGGTTCATGTAGACGATCATTTTCTCTATCCGAACATGTATGTACGGCGATATTTTTTTGCGCAGATATTCGTTTTTTCAAACACCAGGCTACGTGTGTACAGGGTCTCATTTTATATCGCATATGAAATTATATCGATATTTTAAAAATATTGAGATATCGCCAAGCCCAATTAAACTAAACATGGATATTTTTGCTGCAGAGGTCTTGCTTCAATTTCTTAAGAAGCTCAAAATTAATTTTTAAACTCTCAGTACTGAACAGGAGAGCCAAAATAAAATCATCACAGTAACTTATTACTCCTTAACTTGTTAAAAAAAAAAAATAATAATAATAATAATGTTAATCTAATAAAGATGCTCATGAACCAGTGATGTTGCACTTTCACACACACGGGAACAAAAAATCGTGAGGTTAAAACTAGACAAACTTACCGTTACTTTCTCCACGTCACACAAGAGTGATTCCACAATCTGTATCTTGATTATGTTCAACAGGGTCAGCTCGTCCCTGTCCCTGAGAGATCAGAAACGATGAAACAATCTAAACCCAACGGTCAGATAGAAAGTGTTTTAAAGCAAACATGAAATGGGAAGAGCGTCAAAAAAATTGAGCTTGTTCTTAGATGAGATTAAAAAGAACTACGGTAATCTGGTCTCTGGTTTTCTGTGGCCACCATGAGCGTGTAAGGTCATCGGTGCTAAACAAAGATCTGAACGTCAGGATCTACAGCGTGAAGACATGATTCAATCTGCAGCCTCTGGAAACGTTAAGTGGTTTTTCCCAATGTTTATTTGGGGGCAATAAACAACAAGAAACAAGAGGGTAAGACGTATTTAATTTATCTGGCAACCCTCATCGTGTATGCAGCGTCTGCATAGTTACGTCCAAACTGATGAATATATCAACCTCTCTTTGTAACAAAAAAAAAGGGGGTCAAGATGGTGTAGGGGCGGGGCAGGAGACTTGGGACCCGAAAGTCCCGGGTTCGATCCCCGGTCATTGCACATCTTGTGGTGTCTCTGAGCAGGACACCACATCCCCAGTTGATCCCCGGGCGCCCTCTACAACTGCCCACTGCTCCACCTGGTGGTGGATGGGTTAAATGCAGAAAGCCAATTTTGTATGTATGGAAACATACGATGACAACACATAACACATTATTATTATTATTATTATTAACACTCTGCCATTTACTAAAACTGTTAGTGCAGACAAACTTTGGGACTGCAACTGCCCTTAGTGCGCATGTGCGACTTCACGCTTGCAGAGCATTTCACACCTCCGTGGGGGGTTCCCCCCCCAAAAAAATCTCCACTCTGGAGCTTTCAGAGAGAATGAGTGCCGTTATGTAAATGAAGAGCCGAACTGCAGCAGAAAGGCCGTTTGTCGACGGGGCCAGACTGGCTACCTTGTAGAAAAAGCAAGTAACAAATTTCATAGTCTATTTTTTTAATGCCATGTGATCTACCCGAGCTACCTTTGTGACCGACTGGCAGATCGCGATTGACGTTATTGGGCACCCCTGTTATAGTCTTCACTCACTTCAGGTTTGTTCTGGCATAGTTGAATAACCTAATTACGGTAACTGACGTTATATACATGTGAATGTCTCTGTGCAGTGCCCTGAAACGACTTCTGTTGTGACTTGGAGCTATAAAAAACAAACTGAACTGAAAATAATTCAATTGTAACCTCGCTCTTTGAGCTACAGTGTTCGATCATAGCTGGCCGTGGCGCTGATGTCATCAACCAAGGACGGTAACTCATCACACAGTCGTATCGTTTGTTTAAATACAACACTAAAAACAAGTCTTTTTTAAAAATAATTTAACCTTCATTTATACAGGTTAGTCTCGTTGAGCCTCGAGGACTCGTTTACAAGAGACACCTGTAAAATATTAAATCAGAGAAATGGACCCCTGGAATGTTTCACCAAAGTGTTTTAAAGAGAAAAACATGAAAACTCGTTTTTATTTCGACCTTTAAAATGAAGCGTCAACAACAAGTGTTGGCCATCGTAGCTGTTCTTACTTTGAGTTGATTAAACCTATATCCAGAGCCCAATCATAAGTCCTGGAGTTGTCCGGCTGCAGCACGATGGGGAGCCAAAAAACACAAACTTTCATTCGCTGCGAAGCTTCCCTTCTAGTTTTAACAGGGATGGTGTTCCATCGAGCTAAAATGTGTTCTACAGAAATAAAAAAGAAGAAGTAGAAAATTAAAGCGGCAAGGACACAATTCAAAAACAAAATTTACTTCATAAACTAAAACCGCTCCCGCAGACCTGCTGCAGATTTTTGTTCCATGTCTAAAATATAGAATCAGCTGCTTGGTGGATTAACAATCTCATATTTGTGTCTTACTTCGAGTTTAAGTGCCACATTTTTATTTAAGATCCTTTTCAGAAGGTACATTTGCTCCAAATGAAAACATTTCTCATAGATTATAATAAAATAAAACGTGTTTTAGACATGTAAACATATTTCCTACATTTTAATGGTCTGTATAGATAAGCAGGGCAAGAAAAGTGTCTTGAAAACAACTACAGGATTTTTCAGCCTATATATCCTGTTTGATGTATTTTGTTGAGACTAAGCAGATAACTTCAGGTAAATTTCACCAGCTTCAGGTTAGAGATAAAAGTTTACTTCTAAAGAACTGATGAGCCAACAGCTAGTTGGAGCGCAACCCATCTCAAATGGACTGGTTTTTGTGCATGCTAAATTGAATTCTTGAGCCAATTAATTCAATTAATGTAAAGTATATTAATATTTTAAATTAAGGAAGTGAGGTTAAGGAATGAAAACCGTGTCATCGCTTGAAATATTTCAGGGACTTTCATTACGCAAAGCCTGCCATAGCACATCGACATAGGGCTGGACGATATGGACCTAAATTAATATCTCAATGTTTTTTTAGATGAATATATACAATACATATCTTGATAGGTTTTCTTTCCATAAAGTTATAACAAAAACACATTTCTGAGTTAAAAAAAAAGGTTAAATCATTTAATATGGACCAGTTTGTTTAAGGGAGAGGAGAAACGTTTCGTCTTCCATCCAGAAGACTGTGGCCTGCCAACCAGATCAGTCCCTTAGCCTTCATTGCTGTGTTTCAAGCCAACCTCCTGTTCGAAGCTTTTAACACATGCAACAAAAGGACCCATCTGTCCAAAACAATCAATCATCATGCATAACAATCAAATGTTTTACACCAGATGGTCGACTTGCTACTCACAGAAGCAGCCTGAGGACACCAAGACCAAAATGGTTCAGAAAAAAAGGTTTGTAGGCTCAATCAGAGGCAGATTAACAAAACACAGACTGATGAAGTCTTCTGGATGGAAGACGGAACATTTCTCCCTTAAAGAAACTGGTCCAGATGAAATGGTTTAACCTTTGTTTGTTATCCCTTCAAACCATATTTCTGAGTCAAAGCTTTGTCCCAGTTGTCACACACTCATCTATTAAACAGCTATAACTACAAAATTAATGTCTCAAAAATAAAATAAAGTTCTTTTCCTGCACATCAAAACCAAAAACACAGCTGTGCACTTAACATTTACAGTACACAGAGAACATACAGAACAAAATGAAAGGCTGACTTGCTCTTTAAAGTCAGATTCTGATTAAGTATACAATGCATCTTTAGGTCCGACACCCAGACATTTTCACACATTTCAGGAATTTCATCCATGTCACAGAAGTGGCTCCTATGTGGTTCAGACAACAAAGACCCTAACAAACCCCAACTGTGAGGTTTTGATAGGTCAACCTGCATATGTATATAGCTCATCTTGGCTATGAGCTATGCTAGGTACATACAAAGCTGAGCCTCAGCTTTATAATTCGACCCCCCACACTCTGTTGTATGAACTGAGAAAGCTCCTCTCGCATCAGAAGCGAAACGACTTCTGTTACAACTTTGTTTTAAATGGTGAAAAAGATTCACAGTGCTTGAACCTTTTGTCGGGACTTGTTTTCTGCATTGTTTAAATTTTCTGCTGCTCATCTGATGATTTGAATCCAAACCATCTCCATATAACTGAGTCATTGTCTTTCTGCTCACCAGCTTTCCCGTGTTTTCATCAACCCCCTTGTGCTGCTGTTCTGCGTATTGTTTTGATGCTACTAGTGCTTACTGTATTTTTAGTTGATGTTTTTCTTAGTTCATATTAGGAATGTGCGATATGGCATAAAATTCATATCACGATATGTATTGTGAAGGGTGGCGATAACGATGTGTCCTTTTGCCATCATATATTTTGAATTAAGAAAATTCCACTACTAGGTCCAGAGAGTTTTTAAATAATAAACAAATCAAGTATTAGGCTTCTTTCTTGTGGTGCAAAAGATACCAAATGTAGTTTTAGCCATATGTTTTAAACAAAAGAAAATGTTAACTCTCAACAGTTTCCAGTCTTCTCACTTAATGAACAGCAACAGAGCAGCATTTTACACTGAAACACTTCACCCTCCAAACCTCTAGTGGGCGACTCCTTCCGCTTTAATGAAGAGCTGACACAAAATGACTCTGTGGCTTTGACCAGAGGGTCTCGGAGTAAAATCACACAACACAGCGTTCTTTTCACAGATCAGAGAGCAGGTTTCTCTGAAGCTGACCAACAATTACTTTAACTTTCGACAGAAAAAAAAAAAAAACTTTCGACGGAACAGCGTTTTGCGCATGCGTCCGAATATGGCAAGCCGGCCTTAGTTAGCTTGTAGCTTCGCTACGTAGCTCTAAAAAAAAAAGACTAACGCCACTTGCGCACAGTTTTCAACAAAAAACAAAAGGAACGATTAAACTGACAGCTCTGATTTTACTTCAGACACAGCATTACTGCGGTTAGCCGGTAGAAGACAGACTTCTGTCGTAGGCTAAATTTCTATCGTTTCTACCGTGTACCATATACATCGCACATTCCTAGTTCATATCTTCGATCTTATTACCGTTTTTCTTTTACATTTTACTGTTGGATGTAACTGGGACCCCGAGTACACAATCTCGTTCCACCACATGTACCACACGTGGTGGAACGACAAATAAAGAAACTCGGACTCCATTTTGTGACCAACTGTGTCTGATAACATTCCACCCCACCTGTGCTGGTTAATGCTTTCCATTTTCACCATTTATTCTTGTATTTCAGCCAATATAACAGCCTGAGATATTGCTTATATCAATATAATCTCATCGTATACCGTGTAGAAAATTATCTCAATATTTTTAAAATATTGAGATATCGTCCAGCCCTACATTGAACTGCACAAAGCTGTGTGCAACTAGACCAAAGCATTTGTCACGACATTCAGTTTTACACGACCGGCTCAGACGCTCAAATTATACAAGAAAAAGTCAAGTTTTCCACAAACTGGTGGCCACGATGAACAAAGTCCACCATCTTTGATTTTCAGATAAACACCACAATTTATGAAAGTGTAGGAATTATTCATGCCATGTTTGGTGCTTGTATGACAAAATATTTGTGTGATATTGACAATCTGCAGTGCTAAAACTCCAGTGTTTATAACTTTATAAAAAGGTTTGTAGAAACAATAACCATTTAAATCTTAAGAACCCCATTAAAAAAAAACTGAAAGACTGTTTTAAAGTTTCTCAGTTCTAAGATCAGCTGACTCGAATGTCAGATGTTTCTGCAAACGTCTTTCTTTTAAATTGGTAAACTACTAGCTGCCAAAATATTTTCTTAATTGATTCAGTTTAAAGATAAATCAGCTGTTGTTTTGAGCTTTCAATGGTTTTCTCTCACTGCAGGAGGATACTGTACGTTCCATTTGATAAAATGTCTTAACGGTGTGTTCAGGAGCAGTTTCTAACAGATATAGGTGCCCTGTAGTCGTTTCATCATCACTAACCTTTATTGTTGGATTTAGTGTTACAAAGATCTCAGGTAAATCAGTCCGCTTTTAGCAGAAATATTTTTTGTATTATCTACCCACAGACTTCTAGAGTTTATCAAGTTGAAATTAGAACATAATTTTAATAAATCTTGTAGCCCTGAATGTTGGAAATGACCTTAATATTTCTTACCTCCTGAAAAAGTACCAAACTCTTCTCCCTGAGTGACCAAAATAATAATAATACATATTTAGTGTGAGATAAAAGAAGAAAAGGAATCATTTAATGTTGATTTACCGGCTCACACACAGAACTCACCTTAAATTTCACATAGCTGCACTGCTCCCACTCGCTATCAGAGTCCGAATCTGAATCTGACATTTTGGCAAACTCTGCAAACACATTTGGTCAAACTGTCAGTACATTCTGAAGTAAAACAAGTTTTAAAAGAGAAAATATTTCACATCTAAAAGCTCTAGCAGCTACAATCAGTCCGTTTATCTCAGCTACTAGACAGTTTTTAGATATTTAGTTAGCTTTAGGTCGTTTTCACACTAACAGACTCGCTTCGATCAGGGTCCAAAACTGGGAACATCCGTTTACATTTTCAGCTGCTGTAGTTCACATTCACACTGCACTGTCAGTCGAGTCAACCTGTTCCCCCCCTCGCCTGTGGTGTCGCTGCACCAAAAACTACTGAAGGAAACAACACAAAAACCTCTGAAGAGGCTTCTGCTGGAAATAAAAACAAAAATGGAGTGGCGTCAAATTTCAGCGGTTTTAAGATTTCTGTTTAGTCATAGAAGTTTAGAGGCAGAAGACCACGGAGAGTGTTGTTTTTCCACACAAGATGGTTGAGACGGTCCTGAAAATTAGTGTTGGCGACAACCTCCTGATCTTGACTGGTGGTTTTTGATGAGAAAACAGCTCTCTGTTGTAACTGTCAAGTCATCGAGGAAATCTACAAAACACACTAATAAACAGAAAAAGGAGAACAGCAGACGTAAAAACATTGTCATCCCTTATGTTGCTGGAGTATCAGAGAAATTCAGAAGGATTTTCAACAAACATCCCAGTACATTTCAAACCCAACAGGACTCTCAGACAGAGGTTGGTCCACCCTAAAGACAAAACACCCATACACAAACAGAGTGGTGTAGTGTATGCGGTCCAGTGCAGCGAGGACTGTCCAGACCTCTACATTGGAGAAACTAAACAGCCTCTTCACAGGCGCATGGCTCAACACAGGAGAGCCACCTCTTCAGGACTAGATTCAGCAGTTCACCTCCACCTCACAGATAAGGGACACTCTCTTGAGGACCAAAATGTGCACATTTTGGACCGAGAACCAGATGGTTTGAGAGGAGGGTGAAGGAAGCAATTTATGTAAAAAGAGAAAAGCCGTCTCTTAACAGAGGAGGTGGTCTCAGATTTCAACTTTCAAAAACATATAATGCAACTTTAAAACAGATTCCCAGCCGGTTTTCACACCTGATGGGAACAGAGGGGCCTCGTCTGTGAATTAGAGGAACAAAGACCTACTGTTAAGGTGTGAATTGCCAATCTACATATGCATGTGTGTCTTATCTCACTCAGCCTTATAACCTCTTTGAATTGAGAAAGCTCCTCGGATGAGGAGCGAAACGTCTTCTGTTACAAATAAAGTCCAGTTGTTTTTGTATTGAACATTTTTGAATTCCTAGATATGTCACTTCAGTATTCAAAAAGCGTTCAAAACAAAAACAACTGGACTTTATTTGTAACAGAAGACGTTTCGCTCCTCATCCAAGGAGCTTTCTCAATTCAAAGAGCAGAGACTGAGTTGTTCAGGTTATAAGTCTGAGTGAGATAAGACACACACATATGTAGATTGGCAATTCACACCTAAACACCTTAACAGTAGGGGTTTCTTAAGGTCTTTGTTACTCTAATTCACAAATGAGGCCCCTCTGTTCCCCATCAGGTGTGAAAATGGGCTGGTAATGTCTTAAAGTTGCATTATATGTGAGCGAAACGTCTTCTGTTACAAATAAAGTCCAGTTGTTTTTGTATTGAACGTTTTTTTAAATTCATCATGTCCTGGATGACTGAGAATCTTCACCAGCATGTCATTTCAGTATATTAAAAAAAACTATACTGAATTAAAAGGAACCAATTTTAGGTCAACCAAATGCTATAATCAAAATCATTTTCTCCTGAAACCATTTTTTCCTATGGTTGTTTGAGCGGTACAGAAATATGAGAGCGGTGGTTGAAGAAGAGAGATGAACAAGACTCTGAATATTTCAGCGCATGCACATTTTCTGATTTTGTCCCTATGCCAACTTTTAGTAGCCCGTACAATCTCTGACGAAGTTGCGAGACCAAAATGACAATTTTATCTTCCTTGCAGCTCCGAGAGCCCGTTCACGATAAGATCTAGGCTGAACCTTTTTTCCCCCTCGTGGGGTTTGAGTGATTGGCCATAAATGTGAAGAGTTTGATTAACGCAACCATGCACTGGCTGCAGTCAGTGGGAGCTGACATTAACATTTGAGGTCCAGGATTCACAGTATGACCACAAATCTCTCTTGAACAGATGATATGATGTGTGTGGGTGTTGCTGAACAGCAGCAGGACAAGACTTGCCAAAATAGCCACTGACATCCTGAAAAAAAAAAAGAGGTCATCCTCCAGCTGCGGAAAAGCATTCATCTCTTTGATTGACATTGTCCAACAACACGAATCAATGCATTTCAGAACTATATTTTGGAAAACTACTGGAGTAAACTACTTCAAACTGCACTACTTTTTAACAGTTCAGGATAACCCTTTGCAATGAGTAGCCCTAAGCAACACACACACGTGGGTGTCTCTTAAACTCCAGCCAACTCTTGCAACACTTTTTTAAAATAATAATTAATAATATAAACATGAAGACTAAAACTGTTCTGAAATATCATCCTCCTGAAACGGTCTGACACCACATTGTTAGGACGTGTGGGTGTGGTTCGGAAAAAACTAGTTCTGCTTCGTGATTCACGCTGGAAGCTGAGAACTCAGAAAAACAACTGGAAATGTACTGGAAGCCATTGTGCAAATAAGAAAAAAAAAATACTGCCACAGAAATCAACTACTGTACACCGAACAATTATTTGGAAAATAAAAAAATGTGGATTCTGAATGTGTTATTTGGCTGAATTCAGGGTAAAATGAAATACAAGTATTTTTCAGATCAAAGCAAAAAAACCGAAGCACTGTTAGCATCTTAGCTAACAGGACCGAGTTAATCAAACGGGAACAAAAAAGGCTTATTGCATCATAACGCAAGTGATAACGTTAGCCTTAGAACATAATATTTTCTAATATTTTGGTAATATTTATTAGCTGTACATCGTGTGTCGATACTTTTTCTTGCTTTTTTTAGTCGCGACCTACGAACCATGTTTACAGATAAATTGCATTTAATAAAAAACGAGTTTCATAAAATACCGACAAGTAAAAGTGAAAAATCACCAACCTTCAGATATCAGCTTTCAACTTAATATAGAAGCTCTCACGTCCTTTTTACAGCACAACGTGCAGAAGTTTCAGACGTCGTGAACACACACAAGCACGTAGACGTTAACTCTTCTTCTACTGTCTGTTTTTGAATTTGTTTTTCTTCTTCTTCTTTGGTGGATCGCTGGAGTCAATGAGTCTCAACAGCGCCCCCCGCTGTCGGATACTGACACTACAGAAACAAATCCAGACCCCACACATTCAATTTCAGGATAAATGCATAAACTGAAATCTTTTTTGTGCTGAGGAGGAATATACATGTGCTAGAGCTCAGAGAATGTGTTGAGGATGACTCTCAGCTACAACCACACACAGTTTAGTTCATTATTTGTAAAAATGCTGAGTTACAGCCATTTTTGTGCCAGTTAATGTTGATTACCGGTACCTGTTGTTGTCATCTTGAATTGGGGTGGCTCCAAAACTCACGTGTAGATGTACATCCAGCGATCATGTTTTTATAGTTTCATTAAAATCCATCCAGTGATTTGTGAGATATTTCACTAACAGACAAAGTTTTAATCAAAAATAACTACAGTGTGTACAACGTGGGTATTTGGGATAATGCTCAGCCACTACCACACCAAAATTGTTGCTTGATATCCTTAAAACCAGCTGAGTTACAAACATTTTTTTTTGCCTTTTCTAAAATCGCTTAGCTGTGGCCACCATCTTGAATGTGCTTGACTTCAAAAAATAATCAGGTGTAGATACAACCAATTTCCTGCGGCTTTCATTTATACCAGTTCACTGGTTCATGAGATATTTTTCTAAAAGACACAGGCAAACATATTATTGTTCATCATTGCCAATAATAACTGGTGAGCTGGTACTTATGAAGAGATAACATCGTTGTTTGAGTGGTTTTAATGGGGGGAAAAAGCCAAAGCTTGTTTTCAGTCTAGCTTGTCTTCAGCTCAAAGTCATCTCTCTGCCTGATTAGGCTTTGAAGAACCGTCTGGGGAAAAAGGAAAAAGTTTCTGTTGTGCTCCAGGTCCTGAGCTTTCATAATGCGGGTCACCAGAGCTTGTTGGATGGCTGCCGACTCACAGGGGTGATGCTGGATGTTGTGACTCACTTTTCTTCGAGGCTCGATGACTAACAGGCCAAGCTCGATGTCTTCCACCTCCCTGCTATACCCAGCAGAGGTGTTTCTGTTTGTATCGCCCTCAACGGTGTTATTGCTTCCTTTCAGCTCACTGAGTCCAAAGTCTTCACTGGACCCATCTGCTTTACAGCTTCTGTCAGATACAGTTACATTGGGTGTGGTGGAACCATTCACTTTATCAGCTGGGCTAACCAGGCTGCCGTTCAGAAGGTGACTACTGGAGCAGGTCACGTTCCTGACCGCAGAGTTCAGAAACCCAATGGCTGGTCCAGGTTTGGGTTTTGATGGTTCCGGAGCTCCGGTCTCCAAGATGTTTCTGCGTAAATACGCTGCGTAGCCTTTCACCAGGTGCTTCAGTCCAGTTTTATAGGACAATCGCAGCGACTCAGCTGATCCTAAAGGAATGGAGTGCAGGCGAACCTGATGGAAGAAGAATAAAACGCTCTAAGTGCAGAACACAATCTGATTACAAGACGCATGTATTATTCATGGTGCCAATACATAAGCTCCGAAACATCCTACTGTTTTGTTAGAAAATATAAAGTAAAATGTGCAAATTACACATCAAATGCACAGCTTGTTCAGGAATATTGTGACCTCTGATAAGAGGCACAGCATTTATAAAGTTTGCATAATAAATGCACAAAACAATGGCATTTATGCCAGCGTTTATCTGTGCCAAAATCCCATTTATCAATGGGATTTTATTAATGGGATTTTGGCATAGATGAGAAAACTCGGCCCTTTTTTTAAGCTCTTTATCTCAGACTTCATGGGAGAAACATTCAAAGTTAAACAGGCTGGACTTTATATGTCTGAACTGATATTTTGATATCGTTTATGGTTTTTACACAGTCGTCCACTTTTTATGATTTTAACTGATTGTTCCACTAACAGCTGATGACATCACTCACTTTTAATGTTTGACTTTGCAAACAAGCTCTTCTTCCTCCACAACTTTTTGTGGTGAAGAAACAAGTCATACGTCAAAATGTCAACAATTTAGTTTCCTTTTCCCGTTTTGTTTCTCACTTCTATTTATTGTTTGCTCTTAAATCACCTTCCAGGAAACAGAGACGTGTTATAATTTATCTCAAAATATTCTCCTTAAAACTAGAAGGGTCTTTTAATTTGTCACGCCATGAAACTCTATATAAAAATTATATATCAGAGTCTTTTGCTGCTGTTTGAGAATACTTTTGATGAGCGACTGGATTTATTTAGGTGATTTGCGAATATGAGACGTTCGTGTTTACTTTTGGTTTTATGGGTTTTTAATCACGTAGTTCGATGTGTCAAAGCGTGACGTCACACATTTGACAGATAAAACATTTTGCGCAGGCAATGAGGAGTTTTTACATCGAGTTATTATTTTAAAGTTCTTCTTCTGACAAGCTTCAACAGGATACGTTGTGTGGTTTTGTTTACAAGAGCGCACTTGATTTTATTTGTCTCGTGATCTGTTCTTTTTTTTTTTGTTCAATAGAAATTAGAAGGGTTGTGATGCAATGGATGAATTTTGAAGAAATACCTGTTAGAAATTTTGATTTAACAGGAGATTAGGAAGATTATGTGTTGTTTTAGTTACCTACATCTCTAGATTTTGTCTTTATGGACTAAGTTTGATGTAAAAATTAAAACTTTATTTTATTTTGCACTGCTGCCGGTCCTCATTTTGCCACCACGGTTCACGTATAGTCCAACTTCTCCTCCTCTCTGCCACCTTGACGTCTATCTAAATAAATTTGAACAAATTTAAGAAAGAGTTTTTAGATCTCTTTGGCTTCATTGCGTTTTACCTTTACGATCTAAATTCAGGTAATTTTAGGAAAAAATTTTAGCCAAGAGGATGAAAACACGAGTCCCTGGAATGAAATTCCACCAAATATCCTCTTCTCAGAGCTGCTCGTTGCAGGATATACTTAAGACGTTTTATTTCTAGAACTTCAGTGGGACGGAGAGCTTGTAGCGTGTCGGTCCTGACCTGATGGATCCTCATGTGCAGATGGAACGCAGCTCCTGCCAGCCACTGTTGCATGGCCTCTGTACTCATCCTCTTCTTCGTGGTCATCCTCTCGAAATGGTCGAGCAGCTCCAGCGTCAGCCAGTTGTCGTAGACCTCGGTGGTCTCAGCCATCGCCTCCTCGTCGTTGGCAACGCCGGGGACGAGGCTCAGGTAGGTGTGGATGATCCGGCCTATTCTTGACGATGCACTGATACCAAAAACCCTCTTGGCTTTGGATCTCTGAGCTCCTGGGTCCTGGGTTGAACCTTGTCCTCGGACCTGATGGGACACAGAATGTAAAACGTTACAGTTGTGGTTTTGAGTCATATTTTGTGTCTGGACACAAAGACACTGGTGTAACTTACTTGTTGGGCAACGTGGTCAAAAAGCATAGACAGTGCCAGAGCAACGACCCCCACCCCTCCATGTGTGACCCTGCAGCAGCCCAGCTCTGCAGTGAGGTTCTGGTTGAACGCTGTCTGCTGCTCCTGGTTCATGCTCCGCTGCAGGAAGTCGTACCGGTGCTGCAAGGCCGCAGGGGAGTCCAGAGAGAGGAAAGAGGTGAGGACGGGGTCCAAGGAGATATCTGGGATGATGTTGGCATCTCGGGCCACAGAGAACAGCTCCTGGACCGTGGCTGGAGAGGGAAGACACGGAGTTGGACCTGTCAGGATCATGGCTGCACCTGTCTGATCAGCACGAGCCACAGGTTGTTTACCTCAGTCAGAACAAGCCCAGTTCACCCAGTTCAACAGAGCTCAGAGAGGAACATGCACAACTCCTGGCAGTCAGATTGGCATTCAGACAAATTCTTTGAACATTAACCAGAATGTAAATAAACCCACAGTAGACTCGTTCTGGTTTGAATCTAAACTCCGTTATCCACGACTTTGCTGGAAACTTGAATAAAACGTTTGAACCCAAAATATAAAAAGAAAGACTTTAAAATCCTCCCCTGATCGATGAGCACCCAGCATCTATTCTCTAAGATTATTTTTAACTTCTTTTTGTCCATCAGCACACCCTGCCTCCAAAACTTCTGCATCTGTCGAGACGTTCACCCTTCACTGCATTTTATTTACAGCACAAGAACTCCTGTAGGAATTTGTAAGTGTACGGGCTTATAACTGCTCCACGCGGACTTATTTTTAATTAAAAAATCAGTCAAATTAAAAAAAAAGGTTGCACAGTGACTACTGGATACCAGTGATCACTGCGACATGAAAAGGAAGAAGCAGGTCCAGATGATGATGGAGGTTCTAACACGTACTATAAGGTTAATTCAGCAAAGTTCATGCTCAATAATCCAGCTAAAGAAATCCAACAAAGTTCAGTCAGGTCATCTGGACAATTTCTTTTTTTGTTTGTTGTTGAGAAGTTTCGTCCTTCATCCAGAGGACTTCATCAGTCCGAGGAGCTACAACAAACTCAGTCCCACAAACAGCACACTGGGGCCCACCCTCTCCCCTGTCGACTCCTCCGAGGCAGCCATAGCTGAAGTGGTTCAAAGTGTCAAAGTTCATGTTCAATAATTCAGGTAAACTGATCCAGGGACTGAATTTGTTCTGGCTCTTCAGACTGATGAAGTCCTTTGGATGAAGGATGAAACGTCTCAACAAAAAAGTAAAAGAAAAAAGAAACCGTCCAGATGACCTGACTTAACTTTGTTGGGTTTAATTCAGCTAGTTTTAGGACCTCTTAAAAGACAGTTTATGCTTGAATGTGTTCACTGCAGCAGCAAATTATAATCTCTGTATTATGTGAAAACTGAGTCAGCATTTTTTTATTTTTCTGTTCATTTTTTTTTTATTCTTACTTTTTTTTTGATCGTGTTACTTTTTATACCGTATAACAAAATGTTCAGCTCATTCTAAAAATAGATGAAATAAGTTGTGGTTTTATTTATTAGTTTATTAGTTGTTATTGTTGTTGTTTTGCAACATCCTTATTTACAAAAACAAAAAAATTTCTCCATATATATATATATGTAGGTAATTTATGTTCCACTGACTTTATCTTGCTTGTTCTTAAATTTAGATACATTTTTTATTAATATTATTATAATTACAGCATTCACAATTAGTTCAAACCTTTTCGTACCAATTCGATGGATTCCATCCATCACATGATTCTCGCCTGCCTTTAAATCACATAATTACCAAATCTTTTTAAAGATTTGTGTGGATCTTTACAGAATGAGCATGTGTTTTATTAAACATACACAAATATACTTACGGAGTTAAGGCTGAATATAAGTGTAGAACACCCACAGACATACGCATTGTTTGTACATACGTATATGAGAACGCACCGTTGATAAAAATCAACTCAGATAAAATATCAAACTCGACAATAATTTCTAATAATTTTTTGTCGGATAAGGAAGCTATAGTGACTAACAAATATACATAAACAACAAATTAAATTTGCTTTCGAATAAATGCAAGTAAATATGAATATATATGGAATATCTTTCAAAAAGATCGGAAGCTCTTGACCTCTCTAAGTGGCTTCTGTTAAGTTCCTGGAAAAAAAAAAAACCCCAATGCAGGCATGTTCCTGTTTTTAGTTTTCTACATCGCATTACAGCTTAGCTGTTTTCTTTTTCTGTTAAATTTTTTTAAATACCAATTTATTTTCACGTGTTATTCTCAATTTGTATGCATAATCAGGTCTCTCGTAACTGAGTCCCCGAGTCTCAATGGGATTAACTGTATAAATAAAGGTTGAATGAATTTATGAATATATCTTTACCACAATCCATTGCAAAGTACAAACTTTGATAAATCACATCTACCCAACAAATTACTTTATCAGATCTAGATTTAAGTTTGATACTGCTGGTTGAACATTTTGTGATAATGAAGAGGAGGATTTAGATCAGGGGTGCCCAAAGTTGGCCCGCCAAGCTGTCCTCATTACTATATTAAAAGTTCCTTTAAAGAATCAACGTGTTTACACTCATTGACTTTATTGTTAGTCGGCCTGACTACCATAATTTAACTACATGGATTACACAGTAGAGTAGATAATTCATCTATTTTTATACAATTTTAATAATTTATATTTTTATATTTTAATTTGACAGACTTTCTACCATCCCTCGGCAGCTTCCTACCACTGAATAACATTTGCCTTAGACAGAAAACGCTTATAAATCACAAAGTGTTTAAAAGTAAATTATAAATATGAACTGGTTTCAGTGGTGATTTTAGCCTCTTTACATTTAAACTCAGCACCCCTGAAGAAAACAAACCATCATTAGGATTGTGTAAGGAAACAATTCTCAAACCTTAGAATCACCAAAATATTGAATAAATATGGAATAAATCCCACCACCTGTCAATCAATCCAGTAGGCGCATCAGCTACTGACCAATCAGAACCTCTTTTTGTCCTGAAGTGAACACCTCTTACCTGCAGAGCTGCAGCCGTGTTGCATGAACACTTGCAGTCAGATTTCAATAATAACAGAGTTTACATCTTTTGTTTCTTGTTAATCTACTGTAATAAACATTTGTAAAATACACCAATACATTTGAAATAAATATGGAATAAATTATGAGTCAGTTATTGCTGGATGTAACTGGGACCCTATAATTTAATTCCACCCCACGTACCACATGGGGTGCAAATGATAAATAAAGAATATTGAATCCTTAAATCCTTGAAATCGCATCTACTTTAATCAAAATTCTCTGGGGGAGGACCCCCGCCCCCACCACCAACACAGTCTATTCTGTAATGTTCTTTATACATAATGGAAGGTTAAATAACTGTAAAATAAATAAATGGACTTTACTTAAAGATTGTATTGTTGCATTTTGGCCCACAGCCCTTTGATAGATTTTAAATTTGGCCCTTTCAGGGAAAAAGTTTGTGCACCCCTGATTTAGATCATCTTTTTTTCAACTGTAGTGTCACTCAGGACTTTTGGAGCAGGATGTGGCTTCAGGCCCACGGAACTGAATTGCCAGATCTGACCTCAACAATAATAAAAGTTGGTGTTTATTTTCAAAATTCTAAAATAGATTTTTTTAATTAATAACCTAATATTACTAGGAACGTTTTTTTGTTCATAAATGTAGATTTTTTTTAAAGGTGAATCCAAATTTATGCCATTGGGAAAATGACCTGAAATCGTTTTGTGAGTCTCTTAAGTTGGTTGAAAGTAAATCTGCTCAATAGCTTTATACTTTGATTAATAACTTTAATTTGATATAAACCTCCACATTTGTTCCTTGTTTATCAGAGTCAGAGGTTCTTTATTGTCATTCGCACCTCATGTGGTACATGTGGTGGAGCGAAATTATGTACACAAGGTCCCAGTTACATCCAACAATAAAATGTCTAAGAAAAACAGTAATAACATCTAAGATATGAACTAAGAAAAGCATCAACTAAATATACACTAAGCACTCATAACATAAAAACATTGAACATCAGCACAAACATGAACATGAGTCTGTGAGCAGATGTTCACGCATGAACACATCAACATTGAAAGAGATCAGCAGCAACATGAAACAGATCAGCAGCAACATGATGTGGTTTTTCACAGTGATTATTCTGGTTAGAGATTCGTGAGTCTAACAGCCTCAGGGTAGAAGCTGTTCCTCAGTCTAGTGGTTCTACACTTAATGCTCCTCAACCTCCTTCCTGAGGGGAGTGGGGCAAAAAGTGTGTGTGCTGGGTGAGTGAGGTCCTTCATGATGCAGGTAGCCCTCTTCCTGCATCTAGAGGTGTAGATGTCTGTGATGGTGGGGAGACTGACTCCAACAGTCTTCTGTGTAGCCTTCACCACTCTCTGCAAAGCTTTTCTTTCTGAATATGTAATTATGTAATTATTATTGGGTTTTTGTGTGTGTATATTTTTTAATGTATATAACTCAACCTGTGAAAGTTAACTGATGCTTTGTATTATTATTTTTTTTGCCTTGGTTTGTTTGTAAATTGTTCATAATGTATAAATACAGACTTTGCGCATGCGCATTAGTGCCCGTAAAAAGTGCCACGCTGAAGCAAGCGCGCAGATTTTATTTTATTTTTTAACCGGCAGAATAAACATGAGTAAAATATTTTGAAGCGGCTTTGACACGTAAACAAACTAAAAAAACTATTTTTCGGCGCAGACGCGGAATGCTGCCATATTTCCCCTTGCGTGATGACGTCACCGACTCTCCCTGGACGTACGTCGGCAGAGAGAGACGCAGAGGAGGTGGAGGTTCGTTCCTGCTAATCGGTGAAAACAGAGCAGGTGAGTACCGAAGCGGCGCTGTGTCTTCATATCAATGTTACAAATATAAAACAGAAAGGATCAGGTTCGAGGGAAAGTAATCCCGGCTACGTTATTTCTCCGCGAAAAGCTCTTGAAAGCAAAGCTACGTTCCGTTAGCTGCTTGACCTCCAGCGTGAATGAAGACTATAAAATAACCTAACAGTAAATTATTGTAGACATACTCATCATTTTAAAGACTATAGTGTCTCCACAAAGAACAGGAGAGCAGCCGTTTGGACTCAGTGTGTATAAAAACGGAATAAATCTCACAAAGTGGCCTTTACAGCCTCCAGATCGCATTTAAACTCCACCTGTGGGAGTTTATTCTAACGGTCTCCAAAAGTCATTTGTCCAGGAATGTGGTCACCTCTCTGTATGAAGTGCCAGCTGACACTTCTGGAGCTGTGTGACCAACCTGGAGGTAATCACATTTTTATAAAACCATCCTTTACCGTCTACATAAAGCAGGTTTTAAATGTGACGCTCTCTGTAAGGACTTTAGAGTTAATTTGACCAAATCAGTAAACTCAGACTGATTATTTGAAAAGTACATTAAATATGGAGATTCAGCTTGTTTGGTTTGAGCGGAAACCGTTGCTTAAATGCATTATAATACAATTTAATCAATTCAGTTTATTTGTACAGCACCAATTCACAATAGTCATTTCAGGGCGCTACAGAAACATTCACATACGTTTTTAAAATACCAATTAGTAACAACGATCTTTCTATAGAAGCCAGCCGATAACGCTGAATCTTCACTCCGTAGTCATCTCCCATTATGAGAAGCTCATGGCGACAGTGGAAAGAAACATCTCCGTTTTAGCAGGAAGAAACCTCCAGCAGAACCAGGCTCAGGATGGGATTAGAGAGGACAGGAAAGAGACAGAATGACAGGTCCACGAGTGGTTTCTATGGAGACAAAGAAAAAGGAAAACATGCTGGTGATAGTCATGATTGGAAATACAAACATGAACAGTAGAGCAAGTAAACACAGCTGCAGAGTGAGCAAATGTGGCCAAATTGTGTCCAGCAGTATAAGGGACAGCTCAGGAAACCCATGCCAACCCTAACTATAGGATTTATCAAAAAGTAAAGTCTTAATCCCAGTCTTAAAACTGGACAATGTGTCAGCCTCACGGACAGAAACTGGAAGTTGGTTCCACAAGAGATGAGCCTGATAACTGGAAGATCGTCCTCCCATTCCGCTTTTGGAAACTCTAGGAACAACAAGTAAACCTGCAGTCTTAGGATGAAGTGCTCTGTTAGGAAAATATGGAACAATAAGATCTGTAATATAAGATGGAGCTAGGTTGTTGATGGCTTTGTATGTTAGAATTAAGATTTTGAATTCTGAATTTGAGAGGGAGCCAGTGGAGAGAAGCTAAAACTGGAGAGATATGATCTTCACTTCTGACACATCAGAACTCTGGCAGCAGCATTTTGGATCAACCGTTGTATAATGTTACTGTTATTCAGCCTAACAGGTTTAAACCAGTCCAAATAGTCTTTTCCACGTTTGAATGTTTAAAACTACCGTAGGTTCATGTTTGAGCCCGCTCTTCACACGAGCCGTTAGTTAGGAATGTTCCAGAGGTTAACCTGGAATCTCTTAAAGACAAAGTGATGATTTTACTGCTCACACAATCTAAGCTCAGGACAGAGTGTGTCCAAACACCTGTTACATACAGGTACCTATGACACATGTTTAACTTGTGAAATAGAAACTAAAAGGTCAGGATTTAAAAGGATTTAACAGATTAGTAGAGTCACATTGAAAACAGATTGAAAAGGTGAGCTGATGGATTTAATTAATTCAGATTACACAACAGAGAGCTGTCGTTTACAAGCTGTAATCTGGTTTATGGTGAAATTAGGCAACAAACATTCAAAAAATGCATGTGTAAGTTAGTATGCATATAATCTTTGGAGGGATGTTTGTGCTCACCTGCTGATTACAAGTTAAATATTCTGTTTCAGGCAAATGCGGGTGATACTGTTTTTGCTTATATCTGCGTGTGTGTTACCAAAAACAGCTCAGAACAACTGGTCAGATTTTACTAAAACTTGCAGGAAGTAAACATCTACAACTGATTGGGTCGGCAGATTCAAGATGGCCGCCTCAGTCAATTAAAATCACCTAAAACTTGGTGTGGTAGTAGCTGACAGTCATCACCAACACATGTTGTAAGTGCTAACAAACCACGCAAGATCTTTGTTTCACGTTTTGCCACTAACTATTAGTTGTGGCTCGTCTGTTAGCAAAATATTTCATGAACCACTGGATGTGTTTATTCAAACATTCAGGAAATAATCACTTTACAACAGATTATATTTTGACGCCAGTCATGAACATGTTGTTGGTCTTACCGGCTCAGTTTTAGCATGGTTCAAGTTATTTAGCTGACAGGCCCTGTTCTGTTTCCATGGAGGAATACTCATCTTCCTCAGCACCTATTCATTGTGGTGTACCTCAAGGGTCTATTTTGGGCCCTATGTTATTCTGTTTATACTTGCTGCCTTGATCAGTATTTAGAAAGCACAACATTTATTTTAATTGCTACGCAGATGACATCCAAATATTTTTCCTTTTAAAATCATAAGTCTCTGCCCCACTGCGGCCTCTGTTTAAAAGATGTTAAAGACTTTACTGGTTAAATCAGAACTGTCTGACCCTGAACGAAAACAAGACTGAAGTTGTTTTATTTGGAAATCAGTCTCCAGTGTGTGCTGACATTCATTGTTCCTCCGTAGTCAAGAATCTCGGAGTGTTTTTAGACAGTTCTTTTAAACTTTATAAGCAAATATACTTCTCAGTTGTCAAACCAGTTTTTATCAGTTGCATCAAATAGCTAAAGCAAAATCTTACATTCCTTTTAAGACCTCAAAACTCTCATCCATGCCTTCATCACCACCAGACTGGATTTCTGCAACTCGTTATACGTCAGTTTGGAACAATCATCTCTCCATCGCCTGTAGTTAGTCCAGAACGCTGTGCGTCTTTTACCAGGAACCAGAAGGCTTGATGACATCACTCGTGTTTAAGCTGGTTTGCACTGACAGCCTTTTCATTTGTGTGTTGATTTTAGAGTTCTTAAATGGCTTGACACGCACTTATTGAATGGATGAATCTTTCCTTCCAGGTCGTCCAGCATCATGAGTCAGCGGACGGAGCGGCGGGGTATACATGTGGACCAGTCGGACCTGCTGTGCAAAAAGGGATGCGGTTACTATGGAAACGCAGCATGGCAGGGCCTGTGCTCCAAGTGCTGGAGGGAGGAGTACCAGCGGGTGCGGCAGAAGCAGATCCAGGACGACTGGGCCTTGGCAGAGAAGTGAGACTTTAGAAAAAATAAATAAATAAATTAAACATCTTCAACATGTCCGACGTCTGTGCAGATATTAAAACGACCGAGTCATTTTGTGTCAACTTTCTCTTGGGTGCAGGCTGCAACGAGAGGAGGAGGCGGCGTACGCCAGCAGCCACGGAGCGCACCCATCCACGGCCCAGCAGCACCCTGGACACGCCTCTCTCGGACCCTTCTCCAAGTTTGAGGAGAAGAAAACCAACGAGAAGACGCGCAAAGTCACCACCGTCAAGAAGTTCTTCAGCCCTTCGTCACGAACCGCCTCCAAGAAAGGTGCCGCGAACAACTCTGAGCGCTCGCGATGATGTGAGATTTAATGTCCAGCTCAGATCAGGAGTCGGTGTTAGATTCTGTCTCACCATTAACAACGTGGCCCTCATCATGATAGGACTTAACTAACACGCTTAGTTTTTGATTGTTGTACAAATGTTTGAAATCACCCTGATGTCTTTACATTGTGTTTCCAGAGTTCAACGTCCTTGTAATCTTTCAAAGTGACCCTCATCAACATTTCTTCAGTTTCTTTAGACTTCGGCTACCTAGAAGCTAAAATTGGTTAAACCGCAAGTCAAAGCTAAAATAACAAAACCAAAGTTAAAAGCTCGAACTAACAAAACACTAACTGAAAACATAACTGTAGCTTAAAGCTAAAACTGGTTAAAAGCTATATTTTGCTAAGCCATAACTAAAAGCAAAAATAATAAAACTTGAGCTGAAAGTAAGAATTTGTAAAACAGTAGCTAAAAGCAAATTTAGAAAAATTTAACAACTCAAATAAAAGCCATAGCTGAAAACCAAAACTTTCAAAGCAGTAAATGGAAGCTCAAATAAAAAAATGTGGCTAAAAGCAAAAATTTGTAGAACTATAGTTAAATGCAACAATAGGAAAACTAGCTAAAACCAAAACATGTCAGAAACCGTTGATAAAAGTTAAATATAGAAAAACTGCAGCTGAAAACAAAAATTAACAAAACAATAGCTAAAAGCAACAAAAAAGCAGCAAATTTGAAAAACAATGGCTAAAAGCAAAACTAGGAAATCAGTAGCTAAAACCAAAGCTTTGCAAAACCATAGCTAAAAGGACATTTTTGAAAAACAGCAGCTAAAATGATCAAAATGTAGTCAAAACCAAAATTTAGCAAAATCATAACGAAAAAGCAAAAACTAGATAAAAAAAGCAGCTGAAATGATCAAAATGTAGCTACAACCAAAACCAAAGCTAAAATGAAAAATGAGGAAAAACAGCAGCTAAAATGATCAAATTGTAGCTAAAATCCTAACTTAGCTAAACCAAAGCTAAAAAGCAAAAACAGGCAAACAGTAACTGTAAGCAAAAATGACCAAAACTGCTCCTAAAGGTAAAATAAGCAAAACCATAGCTAAAAGCTAAAACTAACTAAGACCGCAGCTCAAAACTGAAATGACCCAAACCATAACTAAAAGCTAAATAATGAATTCGGAGATTAAAAAAGTTAAATTGTAAAGTTTCAGCGAACAATGTTTTCTCATTTCTGTGGGACAAATTTTTATAAAAAAATTTACCGGTAAATATTTTGAAAAGTCTAAAAGTTACAAACACAAATGTCACGGCTCACAATGCTGATCAAACTGAACATTTTGATATAAGAAGGGTTAAAATCGCACGACAAATGTAGTAGTTAGATTACCAAAAAATAAATTAAATTAAATCCCTGAAAAATAAAATCAGGAACACAGAAGTGAAAGTTGTGAATCTTCGTTCAGTTGAATCAGTTAAAAGCAGAACCAGAGCCTGACGATGACGAACTAAACAAGCTTTTACAAACACTAACATCACCCAGAGACGTTGTCTGAACTACGCTAAACGTTTTGGGCACCAGAATCCAAAAGTCCTCAGTTTCTCTGAGATCTGTAAAAATAATAATTTACAAATATGAAACATTACAAACATAAAATCTTCAAATCAGCAACGAATGATAAATGTTTTGTAGAGTTTCTGATGATGCAACACACAAAAGTAATACTCAGCTGTTCAGGCTTTTAAACAAACTCGCCTGTTCGAGAGCAAATTTACAGAATAATGCTAAAAAGTTTGCTCTAAAAGTTTCAAACGGGGAACATCCCCTAGTTCTTACGACTCGGATGAGGTTAGAAGTTAGAATTGTTTGATTTAATATGTCTGTTTTCAGAAGCCCAGGACGGAAAGACGACCAGTCCGTCCATTAGCTGCCATGCTAGCTTTGATACAGACCAGGCGTCAAAAGACTTTGTGGACTTCTTGAAGAACCTCCACAAGCCCGGCCGGGACATCCATAAGCAGTGCAGAGCCTTCCTTATGAACATGTCAAGTAAGAAGGTATTCGAGAGGTTTATTTTTACACTTTATTGTCAAAATAACAAATGTTTTGAGTCATCTGTGTAATCTTTCCACTGTTTGTTTTGGCAGGACCTGGGCGCCGATGAGCTGTCCGAGTGCGTTCAGGATTTTTACCAGAGCATGGCTGACCGCTTGATGAGTCACTTCAAAGGTTAGCTGTGAAAAGTTTTCCACATTCGTGCTCCAACAAAGTTTCAAAAGAGTCAGCAGCGTGTGCTGAGAACCACAAGATGGCAGCACCGACAGCTTCTCCTTTCTGTTTGTCAGGCTCTTCAGAGTCTGTGGAGCAGGTGATGGACCAAGTGGAAAAGTACATCATGACTCGTTTGTATAAGAGCGTTTTCTGTCCGGAAACAACCGACGACGAGAAGAAGGACTTAGCTACACAAGACAGGATAAGGTGGGCCCTCTCCCCCCGTCAGGATTCAGCCCAGCCCTGATGGTAACACGTGCTCTGCAGCTCTCAGAAAGCCTCGCTGTGCTCCTCTTTAATCTGCTCCCTCCTGTGAAAACCTCCAAGTTGCAGCTGATTACACAACAGCCATTTTTAGCCGAGTTCTCCGTGTTTTTTCCTACATGTGAACGCACAGCGGCAGCTGCAGAACGCACGTGTCCCACGAGGGAAACGACTGTCACAAATTTCAGACGTCATACGCAGACACAAAACGAACCCCTCGGGCTGCCGTCGTCATGAACCCAGTGTTGATCACTTGTGTTGCAGGGCTTTGCACTGGGTGACCATCCAGATGCTCTGCGTGTCCATGGAGGAAGAAATCCCTGAAGTGTCTGAGAACGTGGTCAAAGCAATAACAGGTGGGAAAACGACCAAACCTACCTCCTAATCAGATTAAATTCCACTGCTGTTAATATTTTACACCATAAATTCAATGATGATGCAATAACTGTCTGTGTAGGGACATAGCTAAACAAAATCTGTAGTTGCGGCGCGGTGATCGGCTCACTGCTCCACTGCTGGAGTACAAGTCCACGGTTTTTGACCACTCACAAGAACAATGTGTCACACCTTTGTGCATTCAACTCTTTTCTGCTGCTCCATATTAATTAAATTAACACATTTTTGAAGGATTAAAGCCTAGATTAAAATACTACCTGCCTGCTCTGTATCTTTAAAACATGTTAGCGTACTTCTTGTGCAAAGAGGCTTGTTTTTTGCAGTCTTCTCAGAGAGAATGGGATGGGAGTGATCATAATGAATATTTTAACCCTTGGAAAGTCTAATGAGGAAAAATCCACCAGGCATGATTTTATATCATGGTTTTATTTATTTATGTATTTATTTTTGATGCTGTCAATCAACACACCTGTTGCTGACAAAGCCTAAAAATCCTTCTACTTTTCTTATACTTTGTCAGAATTGTTTCATGTACTTCAATAACATTTCTGCCCTCTAATGTTCTTTATGGGAAGAGAACAACTCTATTGAAATCCATTATAAATGCATGATTTGATCCCACATTTATCACATCATATAATAATGCATTTCTTTCTTTACCTCTATTTGTATACTTTGGATTTTTACATTAGTTCAATAGGAGATGAACCTCGTTGACATTTGAGGGACACAGTGAAAATTGCAGACAGGCCAATAGCTTATCGCAGCTGGACGTTGCTGTGGCGTTCCATCTCGTCTTGCGTGACAAAATGGTTTTAGTTTGCATCTAAAGAGCAAAAACACTCTTGCATGGTGCACAAGTAAAGTATTTAGTCCAAAAAGCTGTTCCACATGCACGCAGACTGAAGAATCAGCCATTATGGGCGATACTCAAAGCCAGCATGTTGCTAAGCATTGTGGTCTAGAAAGGTTTTGTCATGAATGGAGGTTTTAGAGCAGAACCCAATGGTGCAGGCAGGACTCTGAGACAAGGTGGTGAAATAAAAAAGCACTTTAATAATACAAAATAAATGAGCTGACGTGGCAGCTGTACTCATGTAAATACTAGGAACACAGGAGGATAAACCAGACGATGCCCAGACAATAATAACTCAAAGACACAGACATAAATACAAACACTGACGACGAGGACTAAACATAAAACACCTGTCAGGCTCACAGGTGTGGGAAAGGGGAAATCATACAAAAGGAAACAGGACAGAGACACACCACTAGAGGCACAATCACCACAGGTTTAAGGCTACATCTGGTTCTTAACGTCTACTCAAATTCTATTTTTTTAGTGATTGCATATAATCATTACTATCACTGCCTATGGCATATATATATACATATATATATACACACACACACACCATATTTTCTACCGTACACGTCGCATCGCCGTATAAGTCGTAAACCGTAAACATTTTGCCAGATTTTATACTGGATTGTGGACTTGTTTAAAAACTGAAAATCTCTTAAGGAGTTAAAATATAAAAATCTCTTAAATTTAATATTTTTATTATTTTGGGCTGAGATTGTTTTGAAAGATTGATTAGTTTTGTGAACCAAAATATTTAAAAAAGTAGTATTTTTAGTAAGATAAAAAATTTCCACCTAAGGAACACCCAGAAAGTCATAAAGTTAAAAGACCTGAGGGTTAACATAAGCTAATTATGTTTAAAAATGTCTAAAATTGTTTATCTTTTGTTTGAAATCATCATGGAAAGTGAACTTAAGGTATCCATTAGCTGACGACTGAAGTCTCCAGTCATATTTTATAAAACACTGCAGAAAATATCCTGATGTATGCTCGATATAAACTGCAAAATATTTGTTTTGTGTCTCGACACGACAGTTTTTCTGTAGTACCATGCAGTACATACGACTTCCTGGTAACTTGCTGCCATGGCTGAAAACAGCAATGTTTCCATCTTTGCATCATGGAGAAGATAAAAAAACAGTGTTAAAAACCCCTTTTAGCTCGTGTTACATGGCTTCTACATGACCTTTGTGTCTTTGCCTTGTCCAGATGTCATTGAGATGGACTCAAAGAGGGTTCCTCGGGACAAACTCGCCTGCGTCACACGCTGCAGTAAACACATATTCAGTGCCATCCGTATCACCAAGAAGGAGCCGGCCTCCGCTGACGACTTTCTTCCTGCGCTCATTTACATCGTGCTCAAGGCTAACCCTCCGCGACTTCAGTCCAACATCCAGTACATCACCAGATTCTGTAATCCCAGCAGGCTGATGACCGGAGAGGACGGATACTACTTCACCAACCTGGTCTGTGTTTTTATTTCTTGTCCTGATGCGGTTCTCAACCAAGTCTAGGGCTTTAATGACTTGTGGAAAGTTGTGAAAAAAAAAAAGAAAGTTTGGTAAAACGAGGGACAAATCCAACTCTATAGCTCACACATATTTCCTAGAATCATCATTCAAAGTTAATTTTGTCTTAACACAGTATTGTTTTTCTTTCAGTGCTGTGCTGTGGCCTTCATCGAAAAATTAGATGCTCAGTCTCTCAACCTTTCCCCGGAGGAATTCGAGCGCTACATGTCAGGTCAAGCTTCGCCACGATTCAGCAGCTCAGACGGCGAGTGGCCCCACGCCGGTCCGGGAGTCGGCAGTTCTGCCACCAACCCCGTCCTGGCCCAGCTCAACCACAACCTGGAACTGCTGTCAGGCCTCTGCAGCCGGCAGGAGGCCCTGATGGAGGCTGCTCAGAGTCTCCAGGCTGACCTCCTCTCCTGGTCTGAAAGTGTGCAGCAGGAAGTGCATGACATCTTGGAGAAATATCCCCTGGAGATTATGTCCTCCAAAGTTTCTGCCATCGATGCCAACAATACAGACAACGAGAACCTGCCGTCGCCCATCAAACCTCAGGTGTTCGCTGGGTAAAGGAGTTGACCAAAGCAAGAATAGCATTTCTTTATGGTACACTTTCTTAGCTCATACCAGCTCATAATAGGAAAACAAATGTGTTGAATTAATATTTCCTCTCGTCTGCACCTTAGATGCCTGCTAACACCAACAACTAACTTGTAACGTTTCACTTTAAACTTGTAGGTTTAGTCAGTTGGTTAGAATAGTAGCATAATAAATTTAAATATTTTATAATCACTATAATATATCAGTTTTTAGTGAAATCGTGTTTAATATTAGCAATGTTGAAAGTCAGGATCTTTATATCCGAAAGTTAGCGAGTACGAAAAGAAAGAAGCTTTAATAATGAGCTATGGAACATCATGTTTTTGACATTTTATTTTATTTTTTTAATCGCACACACTCACACATTGACGCACATAATATATATCATTTTTCATTTTTAGAAGTTTAAGGAAAAACACTGTACAAATTCATATAAACATTGACTAAATTTTAGGGTTGTGTAGCAATCAAGCTAAAAATATTTCAATATAATACATTGTAATACTTGTGAATTTGCAAGATAAAAGCTTATAGATGGGTAAAACTAAAACTAACACTGAAAGGTATTTTTTGTTCTTACATCAGTCCTATTCAACAAAAGGTTGATTGATGTATTTGTCTTCAATTGTTTATTAGCTATCCTTAACTGTTGTCTAGCTTGATTAATACACAGAAACAAACTGACAGGCTAGTATTGCTTTTTTCAATATAGCTAACATACAATTTTAAAAACAAAAAACTGAAGCTAAAACTTTATGCCCACTTTACGTCATTACATTTCACTTTTGGCAATATTTAAAGCACTGAACTGTACATTAGCATTGGTGGCTAATGACTTTTTTTCCTATAATTTACTGATATTTAGAATAGTTGTTCAGATTTAAAGTAATATTTGCAAAATGTCTTTGTTCTTTAGTAATCAAGCTAAAAAGTCTAATTAGTGTAATATTTAGTGAATTTGCTATTTAGCCATCAAGATAAGAAGCTGAACTGATGGCTAACATTAACCGTTAGCATCATTTGCAGACAAAAAACAACAGCTTTTTTTTTGTCTAAATAAGACTGAAGCTAAAACTATCTGCCCACGTCCATTACATTTCACATTTTATACCATTTTCAAATTTCATTTAATTTGAATGAAAAACAGCCATTTTTAGAAGGAGTTGAAACAGTTCATTTCTTAAAAATATACGTTAGCATCTTTGGCCAAAAGTGAGAAACACTTTACCTCAGCAGCTACTGGTACTTCAAAACTTTTAGCTAAAATAAAAGTTTTACATATTGTAAATAATATTTACAGAATCCTGACATTTCTTTAGTGACCCTGCTGAAAAACACAATTGGATATATTAGGGTTAAATTAAGTGAATTTGCCTTTTATCGAACAAGATAAAAGTTGAACTGATAACATTAACCGTTAGCATCATTAGCAGACAAAAACCAACAGACTTCTATTTCTTATGATTTTTTTTTTTAATTTTACAAAATGCAGAAGCTAAAACTATCTGCCCACTTTATAGGCCATTACATTTTATATTTAAGCTTCTTTTTTTAATTTTTTTTTTTTACTTTAAGTCATGTTTTTAATCTTATCCTAATGTATGGGGTTGAAGCACTGATCCAGTCCTAAGACTGTAAGTTAGCATTTGCAGCTAATACCCGCTGTTTTTATTTCATTTAAATTTTTATCTTAGTATTAAAGTGTTATCCCCTCAACAGAAACACAGCTGCAACAAATTAAAGAGGTGTTGTACTGTATTGTTTTCAGAATATGCTGTATTTTTGAGACCTGCTGCAAACTGACCTCGACAATGAATCAACAAATGCATGTGGTTAAAAAAACATAATGATTGCTAAATGTTGAATTTTTTTATGTTAAAAGAGGCTAGTTCGTCCTGTCTGATTTATTTTAACCTATTGCTAGGTATTGTTTGTTTATTGTTGTGTTGCGTTTAAACAAGATTATTTGTATTTTTATGACGGTAATTTATTATTTTAACTCAACTGCAGAAATCAGTAGTTAGAAACCATAGTTACACAAAAAGTATAGATTACCAATAATAATAATATCAAAACTATCAATTCATTGTAAAATTAAATATAAAAATGGTTGTTTTCTCACTTGCTTTATTTATTTGCTATAAAAACTGCTGCTCTTTCACTCATCGTCCTAATCATTCTCATCATTTAAAAGTAAATGTTTGTGAAAACAAAAACTGTTTTAGAGGATTGCTGTTTAACCATAATACATTGATTTTTTAAAATCTTTTGAGCTTTTTTATTTCTTAAGATTTTGCTCTAGAGATGGATGTTTTGAATATCTGATGAATGTGAAAAATGCTTAAACTTTTTTTATATTGACTGTAATGGGCTTTTTTTCCCCTTAGTCCTAAACTAAAAATGTGTCCTCTAAATGTAATGCAAGCAATTATGATTTTTTATTTAAAAAAATTAAATAAAGTTAAACATGAGCTAAATCGAAATTGTATTGCACTAAAAACAGAAATAGTACTAGTATTTAGATTGGTTTTGGAGGTTGACTGTTTTAAGTTTAAGCATGACTGAAAAAAAAAAATCTTTCGACGTACCGAAACAAAATTAATTTGAGGTCATCATTTTCGCCTCTTTTCTCTCCATTGTGTGCTCCTTGTGAACGTCACGGTCGAGTAAAACCCAATATCTGCTTATGTCTTGTGAATTTTAAATCACGTGTTTTTAATAAAATCAAAAATCGTTTTGACTCGAGTTTCTGGAGTTTTGCAGCCCATCAAAGCCTCGTGTCTTCCACTGTTGTGCTGCAGTCAAGTCCTCAGTGAACAAGCCCAGGTGTGACAGCTTGTTATTTTTTCATTTTACTTCACAGGAGAAAAAACCTTTTAGTTGTCCGATGCACCTGTGGATGTTTAAAAGTCCATCAGTGGTGTCTATTGTTCTCCGAATGCTCCCGTCGCACTGAGTCACGGTAAAACAAAAACAAGGACCTTTTTTATGGGTTGTGGTGACTCAACCCTCCTTAAAAAAACCCAAATAAGTCCATGCTTAATAATCCAGGTATACACTCCAACAATTTTTAGTCAGGTCATCTGGACAGTTTCTTTTTTTTTTTTGCTGAAATGTTTCACCTTCTATCCGGAAGGCTTCATCAGTCAAAGAAACACACAACACAAAACTGATTCTTCCCCCAAACAGCTTACTCCAAAGTGGAACAAACCAGTTATGTTGGTGCTAAGATGGTGTCTTTGGCACACCCCCTCCTCTCGTGCCAGCCCTCTTCCTCGTCGACAGTCATGTCAAACTGGTTCAAAAAACCCTCAACCCTCCTTAGCAACAATAACCCAAATAAATGTTTCTAGTATTATTTATCCATTTACCTACAGAGGCTGGTCCACCCTAAGGACAAAACACCCATACACAAACAGAGTGGTGTAGTGTATGCGGTCCAGTGCAGCGAAGACTGTCCAGACCCCTACATTGGAGAAACTAAACAGCCTCTTCACAGACGCATGGCTCAACACAGGAGAGCCACCTCCTCAGGACTAGACTCAGCTGTTCACCTCCACCTCACAGATAAGTGACACTCTCTTGAGGACCAAAATGTGCACATTTTGGATCGAGAACACAGATGGTTTGAGAGGAGGGTGAAGGAAGCAATTTATGTAAAAAGAGAAAAACCATCTCTTAACAGAGGAGGCCTCCGATTTCCACTTTCAAAAACATATAACGCAACGTTAAGACTGATTCCCAGCCAGTTTTCACACGTGATGGGAACAGAGGGGCCTTATCTGTGAATTAGAGTAACAAAGACCTTAAGAAACCCTTATTGTTAAGGTGTTGAAGTGTGAATTGTCAATCTACATATGTATGTATATCTTATCTCACTCAGCCTTATAACCTGAACCACTCACTCACTGCTCTTTGAATTGAAAAAGCTCCTTGGACGAGGAGCGAAACAAAACAAAACAAAAAAAACTTTATTAATCCCAGAGGGAAATTATTTGTTGTTGTAACTTGTTATCCTAATTTCATTAAGAGATGTTATAGATGATGGCTGTAGGCAGGAAGGATCTCTTGTAAGGGTCCATCCCACAGTGGATCCTAAGAAACTGGCTGCAGATGCCATCCAATTCGCCCACCCAGACTCTGCTGACCTCTCAGTTCCCCCGGGCTGTAGAACCGCCCGAATGCAGGGCAGAACTCCTCCCAGAGCGATGGCCACTCCTCCCAGCAGTCTGCCGAGCTCCTCGTCGCTGCGGACAGCCAACTGTAGGTGCCGAGGGACGATCCTGTCCTTCCGCTGTTATGAGCCGTGTTTCCTGCTAGTTCCAGGATATCAGTGGTCAGGCGCTCGAGCACAGCTGGCAGGTAGATGAGAATGCATCCACAGAACATTCTTTCAACTCATTTGAGATTTGGGGCTGTAGTTGAGATATTATTTGAGCTTTTCAGATTTTAATCAGCTGCTGTTTGTTGTAGAAAACTGCCTTGTTGCCATGGTTATGCATCATAACAAATGTCCAAAACTAAAAAAGTTTCAGTAAAAATCCTTCCAGCTGCACAGCATCCGATACCAGAGGAAACAATCATCCAAAAAATGTGACTTACATCCAGAAAAAGAGGAATTAAAGTTTCCAAAAGCAAAATCTCAGAATGAAAGTAACAGAGCTGCTCCAACATGCAGCCACCTTGAGCGGCACAATTCTAGAACTGCTATACGTTCTATGTATAGAAACATCTTCTGTTACAAATAAACTCCTTATATGGAACCGTTTACTGCTTGTTTGCATATTTTAGACACCACGGTATCATCAGTTTAAACCATTTATGACCTGTATAGGTCTACATATTGCCCACTATTGAGTCAATCAGGTTGCACTCCGCCCCACGCTAAGGGTGGAGTCTAGAGTCGGAGAAAGCCGAGTTTCTTCGGGAGCTCAAGACTTTGTTTCCGGTTCCTGTTCACAGCGGGTTGAAGTCTCAGTGCTATAAACTTGTACATTTACCTGCCTTAAAATAAATTAAATGGTAAAACTTTATTCTTCTCAGCCATCATTCATGTCGGCGCGAGTCTTCTCTCCACCTGGGAAATCAAAGAGCCGGCTTTGAACGCTGTGGTCGAAGGGTCACAGAATCACTACATTTATAACAATATTTTGTTGCCCACTTCTGCCATTGTTGTACCCAATTTGGCAGCAGCACCAATATTCATTTTGGATTAGTTTTTGAAATAATTGTTTATCATACGTGAGGGTTTTAAGAGCTGGACATTTGGGGCTGTAGCCTTAAGTTTCAGTCAGAGGAGAGCTGTAGTCAATTGCAGGCGTCAAAATACACATTTAGCTCTCGAGACAAGTTAGATGTGATTATCCTTGGATATATTTTTTAATACAATCAAAACTCAAACAAGACTAGTAGCCTCTGCAACTAGTGAAGAAACGATGAACCCCGTCAAATTTGTTGAGACACGTTGGAGACTCTTGTGAATGTAGTTCACGACTTTGTCGGCATACCAGCGAAATCCTACCTGTAGCTCGTCAGTCTGGTCAAAATAAACTCTCCAAAGTTAAGTTGTTCAGAGCCGTCTACAACAGGTAAGACACTAATTGTTCCGAAACACAAAACTTCAATATAGCTGAACGATCCCTTCAAGCGGTTACATAGAAAATTAAAGAAAAAAGAAACGTCTCATCAGGTGCATAATAAGCAACTTACTGTTTATTTATTGTTGTTGATTTTAGGTGATGTGAGGGGTTTCTGGAGACTGAAATATCTAACATTCTCCATCAAACGAGAAGTCTCCCATGTGCAAAAAAGTGACAAAATGCAGTTTTAAAGGGCCGTTGGTCTGAAGTCGGTCAGCTGTAAACAGCAAGTCATGGCTTCGTGTACCGTATAAACAAACACTTATCGTTCAGGGAAGAATTTTTCATTGGTTTAAACTAGAGCTTGCATCCATTGAAACGTACATTTTTCCTTATAATGTTATCGTCATACAGCATATACAGACTACAAGATAAATTAACTGCAGATAAAAGTTTATACATGCGTAGATATAGTAGTTCTGAAAAACAAATATTGAAAGCTTTATACATACAGTAAGGCATGGACTATGTACAGAACTAACCTAAAGGTTATTAGTATCAAACATCATTTTAAATATTCACACAGCAACAAAACATATAATCCAAAACTGTTTATAGTATGTACAAAAATACTTATCCAAATGCCCCTAGGAATATCTGAATAGAAAAAATAATAATAATCTTGTCAGGAGGACATCACATTATGTCTGAAACATGCACTTTCTGCAGGGGGTTTCCAGTCCAGGGGTGGGTCGCATGTCTATATGTTTACTTAGCAGTTCTAGGTGAAGGATTACTTGGTCTACTGTGCTCCTTGGTCCCAGCAGGTGGTCTACAGTACATAAAACCAGCGAGTTCGCTGTTTACCAGACAGCACTCGCTACACTTTGGACTCGCTCTCTAAGTTGGCAATTTCCCCGTTCCTCTCAGCCGTCTGGCTCTTGTCCTCATTGTCCGGGTTGGTTTTTGTCTCCTGCCCCTCCTGCTCGGACTCCGGCAGGCCCTGCTGGCTCAGCTTGCTGGCCAGCGACCAGGTGAGGGGTAAACGGGCACGGCTGGCCATGTCAGCGAGCTCTTTGGCACTGCAGGTGGGTGTGTTCGTCTCGTAGATTTCATGGAAACTGTTGTAGTCCACCTCGTAGAAGCCGTCCTCCAGCGTCAGGACGGGCATGAAGCGGTAGCCCCATTTGATTTCACTGCTGACGTAGGAGCTCCTGGCCTGGCAGGTCATCCCTGGAGACACAACAGGAAGGATCATTTTATTAAGACTTCATGGAGCCAGATTTAAGGAAACGACGGTATATCAATCAACAGTATTGGTGGATTATATTGAATTGACATTGAACGTGCCTTAATCGCTCAGATGTAATTGGATCGATAATTGACTCACTTTTTACTCAACACCATCATCTGGTCAAAGTTATTCTGTGCTGTTTATATTAAGACATTTACTGTTTGATGATTAAATACTATTACTTATCTGTAATGGCTGAAATGTCAAAGGATAACTGGAAGTTAATGTAATGAAATCTCAGTCAACTGCAGCTGAATTTAAACACGTTTATGATGTAACTGTGCAACAATTAAGAGAATTTTACCAGGAAACGTCTGCTGGATGAGTACAAATTAACAGGTCTGTATTTAGACATTTAAAAAATATGCACAAATACAAAGTGCCACAATTGCATGGTGTTAAAAAACCCATCTATTTATTCTTAATGCTTAAGTTTCACCTGAAATGATCTTGTTTCATCTTTTTCCCTTTTTTTAACAAAAAGTTAGACCCTTTCTGCCTCTTCCAACTTGTATTTTTGATTTGACTTATTTGCCAGAAAAGCAAAATAAAACTTAAAAGCCATATCACTTTACCTACACCAATATCAAGGACTTCATACATACACTATGTACATTCACTTCATATGCTGCTTTGCCACTCACTACAAATATCAATCCATTTCATTTTGTTTTTATAGATATACTTTTTAAAATATTTTTTATACCGCTATAGTACAATTTAAGACAGTATCATGCTTTTATTATTTCATTTTATGCTTATGTTTATTAAATGTTGTAATGTTAAATGGTTTTGTTGCACCGGGGTCTGAGAGGAATGTAATTTCAATCCTGTGTATGTCCTGTACATATTGCAGTTTTTGACAATAAAGTGACTTTGACTTTTTTTTAAATGTATATATCTTGTATAATTTGTAAGCACTTGGAGTATGTGCTGAGGATGCCTCTCAGCTACTATCACACTGAAGATTAGCTCAATAGCTGTAAAACTGATTGGGTTATGCTCAGTTATTGTGATTAGTTGTGACGGCCATCTTGAGACAGAAATTAAATAAACTTTAAAAATGATTGCCAATAGCATTTGTAGACCTTAACTGTTACAAAGGGGGTGATCATAAATAGATTAAAAAAATAATATATTGACTGACTAAGCTCTGTTAAATGGATCATTGTTTATATCCTTCATCCTGCGTTAGTTTGGATTAGGAGCCTTGGCAGCTTTTATTTGCACATCAAAAGCTTCTGTGAGTTAATGAGCAGCAGGGCAAAAGGTGTTACACTTTATACAATAAAAAGTCATACTAACAGAACTATAGTGTTAATTAGCCCCTAAGTTTGTATTAAAAATGAAGGGTTTGTAAAGCAGGTGGATCTGGTGGTGAACTTTCACAATGCGTCCCATCTAGGACATAGTGTGAGATATGATTTTTTATACCTCCTCTTCCCTCGTGTTTCTCTTTTCCTTCTAAACAAAAAGGGCAGCGCCTCCCAAGAGGCCGCAGCCTCAGACACCTCCGTCTCCCCATGTCTGTTTGTTAGTGTTTTACTTGGACGGGCTGTACTGAAATGTAATTTTGTTCTGCTTCAGTGCATTGGCAATAAAGCTTATACTGAAACGCAGCCACTGCCAGTATACATCGTCGTATGAACAACCAGCAAACCAAAGCAGCACAGATTCAACATCTCCACTTGTGTAGGAAAAAGATTAATCAGTTTTGCGAAGCTCGTTGCTGCACAAACGATGTGAAATTTAAAATGAATTAACTGTCCAGGAGAAAACAAAGTGGTTTACGTAAAAGAAAAATAAATAAATAAAAAGATGGGACCACAAAATCGAAATCTCACAGTGTTGCTGGGAACCAACGGAGGAATGACCAAGTGAAATTCCACTCCAGAGTCACTGTGAGCATGCCGTCACGCTGATGTTAGCATTTAGGTCAAAGCATCACTGTGTGCAAGTCGGCTTTAAAGAGCAGGTGCACAGTTTTAAAGTCCGTCTTACAACAACAGTCAGGAGCCGCCGTGAACCACGAACTGCACGTGACAGTGGACGGCAAGTTCTCTTCTCCTGAATGAAGACTGCATCTATTGTCTAAACACTTTTCTTTAGGAAAGTTATTTAAAATCAAATAATTTACAATGTGGCTTCATAGGGGGTGGGAAATGGCTAATGTTCTATTTTTCAAAGTAAAATAAGTCTTATAAAAATGTCTACTATCTAGTAGGTGTTGAACGACTACATATTTTTTAAAGTCGACGTTAACATAATAGTTGAGTCTATGTAGACTAGTCGATGACGTCATAGGAACTCAAGACGCTAAAAATAAAACGCAAAAACCCGTAATTTATTATTTACAAAAAAAAAACATGGAGAGCATATATTTATGCTACTACCATTTATCGTACTGCAAATGAGTAACAGGAAAACCAAAACTATTACCAAGCTGCAAAAGTTAATTTTATTTAATCCACTAAATAAAATAAACCACCGTGGTGGTGGTGGTGGATTCTCCAGTGGTGCACACCTGTTTTTATTTTTTTTAGTGGATTAAATAAAATAAAACTAAAAACAGGAGGCAGGTCATGGTGGGATCCCACCATGGATTAAATAAAATGAAACTAAAAACAACATCTTTAGTGAAATACATCCACACTTTTGATGAATTTTTACATGTTCGAGAAGACTTGGCCTGCTCCTCGCCTTCCATCTGCTTGGAAGGATCCGTGTTGTAGCCAGCGGCCCGGCGCTGGTCACATGACGCAATCACAGACTGTGACTAGTCGACTTGAAATTCAAAAACTCGCGAGATGTCCTAAAATCGACTAGTCTATTCAGTCCATACTATCTAGTACTTTTGTAGTTTTCCCCGGATACTCCGGTTTCCGTCCACAGTTTAAAAACTTGCATGTTAGGCTGCCTTCAGGCCCAAGCCTCCCTTGCAAAAGAGATCTTTGATCTCAGTGGGATTTGACTGGTGAAATAAAGGTAATTAATTTAATGAAATAAAAATAAATAAATTTAAGACATTAGATGAGTTTACAAATCCGGTAAAAACAGGGAATTCAGGGTAACGGCTAACCAGAGTATCAAGCAGTTATAGCAGTTTTTTTTACTCCCCATCATTTTTGCATGAGTCAGTTGTTCATGGTGTCACTAATTTCTCTATCGAACAACACCCCTGTTGCTGCATGTACTTGTAGCAGCCCAACATTTCCTCCCAGTTAGCGATGACTCACAGTTCCTCTGGTTTAATCCCAAAACAGCAACTACGAAACGGTAAAAATGAGTGGTTATGAAAGCAAAGATCATCTCCTTTCGTTCTGGGGAGATACGATGATGTTTCTCTGCACCAAATCAAATAAAAGACAGAAATACACTGCTACTAGCAGTCTCAGATGTGAGATTTGTAAGTAGCGCAAATTAGTTAGCACCCTCCCATACTTTTTTCTTTTTCTCTTTCTACTGCTCCCTTGGTCAAGGTCACCACAGCGAACCAACTCAGACTGAGATCGGCAGTAGTTTTTACGCCAGATGCCCTTACTGCAGACCACCGAGCTACCACAGCACTCCGTGTGGAGCAGAGAGCTGCCACCTGGGGCGCTGGGAGCAGATGGGTGGTGGGGGAGGGCGTTAAGGGCCTTGCTAAAGGGTGTTGGAGTGGGACAAAGGAGGTAGGTGTGGGTGCATTACCTTTCACACCCACATTTATGTTGTCGGTCCAGAGATTTAAGCCGGTGACCTTCCAGTCACAGGATCGCCATCTGTAACCTCTGCACCATCATTTCCCTGGTTCACAAAACCCTCCCAAACGAGATGTTTAAAAAATACCTAATAGTAGATCTTTAAATTTGAGTTATTATAGATTATTTAAATTGACTGCTAAACAGATCCAGTTCCAGTTAGCCATTGTTTTTTGTTTTTTTCATTCAACCTTTATTTAGACAGGTAAATCCCATTGAGCCTCGAGGACTCATTTACAAGAGAGACCTGATTTCAACAAAGAATGATGACATCAATGGACAACAGCGACAACAATAGACAATTATAAAAAGTCGTACAGACTTTTTTTTTTTAACAAATAGGATGGCTAAAAAAAAAAAAAGTAACAAAAAACAGCTAGAATCTAAGGCGAATGTAGAAAACTAAACTTGTCTCCTTCATTTGGTGGGTTAGAGGTCAGGTGCCAAACTGAGACTGTTTTAAGAGTGAGAAGTCAAATCTGTTTGAATCAGATATTTGTCCTAGTGCAGTTACCATAGTTTGCTTTAGTAAAAGCATCATTAGTAATGGTTCTGAAATGTTTGAATTGCCTTTAAATTTCCAGTGATAAACAAGATGCTAATTGCGTTAGCTTTTCTGTGGCTTTTCAATGGTAATTTAGCATATACTGTAAGCTAATTTTTGGTCATCAACCTTTGATTAATAGTGTCTTTTGACATGTGTTCATGTGTGCTCTTGATTTGGCATTAAATATATAAATCAGGGATTCTGTAAAAATAAGTTATGTAATTTAGATTGGAGATAATTAAAAGGCATTGATAGTTATTTTATAATAGCATTGCAGCCTTCTGAATCATAGTCGCAACGAAGCACAAGGTGCCTAAAATTTCCCACCTCTAAATTGTTTCTACTGCTGGCAAGATACTGAATCTTTATGGTCAGTATAGAGTATTTATTAATCCAATTTCAGCATTGCTGAACATAAATCAGACATGAAGAGTCTCTTTACCATTTTAATTAGACTGCAGCTAAAGTTCAGTAATCGTCAGTTTGAAACGTTTATCAAGGATTCCATTTTGTTTTGAGGCAAAAAAAAAAGTAAAAAGTAACAGGCTTACCACGATTACTTACGTTAACACAGCTAGAAGATCTTCAGCACAGTAAATGTAACTTTCCATCCATCCATCCATCCATCCATCCATCCATTATCTTTACCCGCTTATTCCATTTTGGGTCACGGGGGTCGCTGGTGCCCATGTCCAGCAATCACTGTGCGAGGGGCGGGGTACACCCTGGATGGGTCGCAAGTCCATCACAGGGTCACATAGAGACAAACAACCATTCACTCTCTCACTCACACCTAGGGACAATTTCGAGTTACCGATCAGCCTAACATGCATGTTTTTGGTCTGTGGGAGGAAACCGGAGTACCCGGAGAAAACCCACGCATGCACGGAGAGAACATGCAAACTCCACCCAGAAAGGCCCCCGGACCGGGGTTTGAACCAAGGACCTGCTCGCTGAGAGGCAGCAGCTCTACCAGTTGCGCCACTGTGCTGTCCGGTTGTAACTTTCCTAATGTTTTTTTTTTCTTCACGGTTTTTAATCTAAAAACAACAGTTCACCACAGTTGGTAAACGGTTTATCAGCTTTCAGGCTTGTTAATGTGATCATTTGATGTTAAAGTCACAGTTTAGATTTTTTAAAGGTTATTAATATGATTTGAAAAGGTTACGAAAACTATTGTATTTGTTATTACCTTTTATAGTTTGTGTTTTAACGTATAAACCTCTACATCATTGTTGATTTTGCAATAGAAATTTATTCCGTCAGAACTGTTGTGAAATGCCCCATGCGGTGTTGCAATGCTACAGCTACTATTTAAAAAAAAAAAACATATAAGTTCACACTTGACAGTAAAGTTTACAGTTAAGACTGTACAGGTTGACAATTTACAGTGAAGTTTATATTTTAGTCTGTACAGGTTTGTACTTTACAGTAAAGTTACAGCTTAGACTGTACAGGTTTACAATTTACAGTGAAGTTTACAGTGTAGACTGTATAGTTTTACAATCTACAGTAAAGTTTATATTTTAGTCTGTACGGGTTTGCACTTTACAGTAAATTTGACTGCTTAGACTGTATAGGTTTACAATTTACAGTAAAATTTACAATTTAGACTTTACTGGTTTGCACTTTACAATAAAGTTTAAAATTTAGACTGTACATGTTTACACTTTACAGTAAAGTTTATAGTTTAGACTATAGGTTTACACTATAATGTAAAGTTCACAGCTAAGACTATATAGATTTACAATTTACAGTAAAGTTTACAATTTGGACTTTACGTGGTTGCAGTTTATAATAAAGTTTAAAATTTAGACTGTACATGTTTACATTTACAGTCAAGTTTATAGTTTAGATTGTATAGGTTTACACTATACAGTAAATATTCCATTTAATTGGATATGTTTATGTTAAAAAATTTGTCTTACAGTTTACACTTTACAGGAAAGTTTACCATTTAGACTGTACAGGTGTACACTTTATACAGTTAAGCTCACAGTTTAGACTGTACAGGTTTACACTTTACAGTAAATTTTACTATTTTGACTTTATAGGTTTACACTTTACATGACATTTGACAGTTTAGATTGTACAGGTTTACATTTTACAGTAAAGCTTACTGTTTACACTGTTTAAGTTTACACTTTACAGTAAATTTGACAGTTTAGATTTTCATAGGTTTACACTTTACAGTAAAAATTGCACTCTAAAATAAATGCCACACTTTAGAGTAAAGTTTGCATTTTACTTTAAATTTTATATTTTAAATTTTATAAGTTTACTATGCCAGTTTTCATTTAACTCCACATAAACTCCATTTAAAAATATCTGACCTATCACTTTAAGTGTGAAGACACACTGTGGGTATATATAAATTCATCATTCTCCATTACTTTGTCCTGACATTAGAAGATTGTTGTAAATCACACCAAACTACCATATGTCTCGTATATTTTGGGTTTTGTTCTGGAAGATAAACTATAAACCTCACATCGAACACAGAAAGAAATTGTGAATTAAATGATTTTAGAGAGTAACAGGAAACTGTGAGGGCAGATGTGTTTCAGACATGATGAAACCGTCTCTCCTATCACAGTTTTCATGCCGTCTAGGACCTAAAAACATTTCTTTCACAGTTAGTAAACTGTTCATCACTCTCCAGCAGCATTTTCACGATATCTTGACGTTAATTAGTGGCTCATGGGCTCAGCTGTCTGCAGGAAACAGAATCCTCTGTGAAACTCCAGCAGCTGCTTCAAAACGCGCCGCTCAGTCGTTATGTAACACTTTATTTTATTGTACTGAAGCAGACAGTTGGACAAATGCCTGCAAATCAATTTATAGCGCACAACAGATACTGTAGGGACTGTTTTATAAGAAACGTGTTTGTTTTTCATGTGTTCATGGCTGCTGTTGGTCATCCAGATGTTGAGGTCATCCTGCTCCTGGCTGTGCAGCTGTGCCCTGCAGATACTCTGTTAATTTAGTTATTTAAAAAAAAAACATTTCTTTGTCTCTCATTCTGTTTGAGAGGATGAAAGTGTGTATTGTTAGAGTCTGAATTTAAATTTAGATTTGTCTGAGCTGCCTATAGCTCTGAGTTCACGCAGAAGAAAAAAAACAAAAGATCACGTTTTGTCTGTTATTACATGACAAAAATAAGGATTAGCACGTTTCTTATTATTAATTTGTTTTGAAAGGTGTTTGTCATAGATCAGTTTTTTCTTCAAATTGTCTTAAAATGATCTAAGATGTGAGATTAACTGGAAATCTTTTTTACAGATGGGGTCCGAATTTTGCATACGCATCGTGGGCAGGATTATCGTTCATTTTGGGCTTTTCATGAATTATTTAAGCGATTCTTTTCTCAGGGTGAAATTATAAAGGGTGCAACTTTAAGAATAAAAAAATCCCCATAGTCAGTAGAGGATCAAATATTTACCTAAATCTTTTCATAAGTGCTGAAAGTCTGAAGGGGGTTGATGAAGATGTAAGAAGAAGAATCTGTGTCTTCACACGAGTTTGTAAAGTTTTGGGGAGCCATTTCCAAACAACTTCATATTCCAAGATCATCAGCTTGAACAAGTGTATTGTAGTGCAAGTTATTTGGAAATGTGCACCAAGGTCTGGAAGAAACCCCGAAACCGTCACCCTCAGATGAAAGGCAACGAGCGAGGATGGTCATGAAAAACACAGGATCCATTGAGGTTCAAACATGCCATGAAGTGAAAATTGCTGGTTTTCAGTGTCACTGTCCAACCAGTTTGACACCAACATGAGCTGAGAGAGAAGCTTCTGCTTCAAAACACGACACTTTCATGCTCCATGGCTGCCCACAGGGAGCAGCCAAATATATTCTGCAGAAAGCGTTCATAGTCGGACAAGATAAGGACTAAACATTTGGCCTTGATGACAAGAAATGTGTTTGGAGAGATTTTTAGAACTAAGAACACCATAACCAATGTCAAACATGGTGGTGGTAGCATTATGCTGTGGTGCTGGTGCATTCCACAAAGGGGATTGAATAAAGGAAGAGGACTACCTTCAAATCCTTTGACTTTGTCTTAAATCAACAGCTCGACCAGGGCTATTAAACTGGCGGCCCGGGGGCCAAATCAGGCCCATGAATGAACTCAGTTTGGTCCACCAATGGGTTCATTTTTATCTAAAACCCTTATTTTAAACCATAAAACAAACTTACTTAATGGTAATAACTGTTGGATGTCGGGTCCTTGAGCTCTTGGCTTTCAGTACCTGTGGCCACCTGGGCTATTTAGTTGAATAGTCCTGAGCTAGACGGTTGAAACTTGATGTTCCAACAGAATAGTAACCACATCAGAACTGGCTTCTGATTGGATAAAGCTGCTAACGTTAAGCTTCTGAAATGGTCTTCCTAAACCCAGGTGAGAAAACGAGACTATTCTCTGCCAAGAATGGTCAAATATCCAGCCAGAATCACGAGAACCTTACAAAACGCCTTTGGTTGAGGTGCAACTTGCTCAGGGACAGTGTGGGGTGTATATATACCGTTTGAGACTGTATAAATAATGTTGTCTGTATGGATCAGAAAGAATCCAGAATAAATTCAAACTTGTGCACCCACTTATTATTTTTAAAATTTCATCTTGTATAATAATTCCACCATAGAAAACAAATGGTTCAAATCAATCATTAAAAGCTCTAAATAATGGCACCCCCTTGATGAGTTGATGCAAGCCATGGCACTGTTGCTGTAATCAGTTCACAATTAAATAAATAAAAAATGCATCAACTTTTGACCGGAAAGTCTCGGGTGTACGAGCTCACCTGTGGCCTCTACCATCCCCTCCAGGATCACAACTATTTCCAGTTCTTCTTTGGACAGATGGGCCTGTGAAATCTCCCAGAAGGGGCTGTGCTGGTTGATCTCGTGGCAGATGATGAGCGGCGACACGAGGAAGAGCCTGTCATCTCCCGTGCTGTAACCCACGTTTATGTCCGTCTGGTTCAGGGGGATGAACTCCCCCTCCTTGGTCTGCTTGGACTTGATCAGCTTGGCTCTGATCGAAGCCTCGACGATGTGCGAGTTTCGGAGGTCTCCGACTCTGAACATCAGGCACAGCCGCCCGTCTCTCATGGAGATGACGGCGCTGGTGGAAAACACTAGTGTCTCAGCTCGTTTCTTGGGCTGCGAGATCTTCACAAACATGCAACCCACCATGAAGGCATTTACGATGGATCCCAGCACCGACTGAACTAAAAGCAGAACTATCCCCTCGGGGCATTTGTCCGTGATGACTCTATATCCATAACCAATAGTGGTCTCTGTCTCAATGGAGAACAGAAAAGCTGATACAAACCCGTTGAGGTTATTGACACATGGAGTCCACTGGTTGTCTGCTAGATGCTCCAGGTCGCCTCGGAGGTAAGCGATGAGCCACCACATTAAGCCGAAGAACAGCCACGTCACCGTGTACACCAGCACGAAGATGAAGAGGTTAAACCTCCATTTGAGATCTACCAGGGTGGTGAAAATGTCCGTCAAGTAACGATACGTCTCTCGAACATTCCCGTGGTGGACGTTGCACTTCCCGTCTTTCTGGACGTACCGCTGGATCTTCTTGGCTCTGTCTATTTCTGCCAGCTGCTTGGGCAGGTACTCTCGGGCCTGCTTGGGCAGCTTGGGCTTCCTGATGACAGCCGGGCTCTCCACATCCTGCTCCATGGAGGTTCTGGGTGGATTCAAGCCTGTAAGAAGGGAAATACTGATGTGATTATGAGCTCTGATTATTCTCTGATTTAAGGTCATACGGTGGAGACTTCACACAACTACAGGACTGGTTCATCTAAATACCGTTTTTTCCTACGTATAAGTCTCAATTTTTTGCATAGACTTGTCAGTCCTGCAACTTATATATATATATATCCCCCCCCCCCCCCCCCCATATTCATAATGCAAATTTTGATTAACGTTTAAAATTTCTAAGAACTGCAACAGCGAGTCCTCCCGTGCACGCTCGCTTCACTCAGCTGGTGCAGGCAGAAAAACGCTGGAGAGCTCGTGGCTCCGGATGCAAGGGATAGATGACGCCGCTCCGCCCAGGCGAAATGAAGCTGTTTTGACCATTACATAAACGCGATGACGCATAATAAATGTGACTTATACGCCGAAGCGACTTATATATGTTTTTTTCCTCTATGTGATGTTTTTGGACTGATGCGACTTATACTCCGGAAAATATGGTAAACACTTAAAACTGAATTGAGGTCATATTTTGGTTTGTGTGTGCATGTGTCTGTCTGTTAGCAAACTCTCTCATGAATCACTGGATAGTTTTTAATAAAACTTGCCAAGTAAGCACTGGATGCAACTTACCTTTTAAAGGCAATACAATTCAAGATGGCTGACACACATAAAACTTAAACACAAAAAACGTCGATAGTCGATTTTACAAACACTCTGCTAAAATTTGATGTAGTAGCAGTTTATATTCATCCCTAAATTATACTTTGAGAGTCAACTGATGAGGCGAAAATCTGTTTTCAAAACTCTGCCATTAACTACTGGAGTTGACAACGTTTGTCTGTTAGCAAAATATCCCATGAACCACTGGGAAGACTTCAATGAAGCACTCAGAAGGTATTTCTTGTACGTTTACCTGCAACTGATAACCTTTAGGGTCCACTCAATTCAAGATGGCCACCACAGCAACCTTAGCAAACACAAAACTGACTATAACTATTTCAGTTTTGCAGATATTGAGATAAATTTTGATGTGGTAGTATTTCCTGATTATCAATAGGAGAGTCTAAAACAAAGAACCACAACGAGCGTGTGTGATTTGCATTTTTTTTAGACTAAAAACACCTACAAGAGTTCACACAGGTGTGCTGATGCTGGCAGAGACTGACGTTTGTGAATGCGATAAATTTAGAACCGCGTCTCTGTTTTTGCAGATGATGTGGTGCTGTCAGGGAGTGCACACCTCCAGGAGGCACCGGAGTGATTGACAGCCGAGTGTAAACAGCTGAGATTAGCACTCCTAAACTCCTGTCCACCCTAACAGCTAAACTTTTCCTGCAGCTTTTGTGTCACGGATTCAGGAGATTTTCAGACACAGAATGCAGACAAGACTCAAAAAATTTTTAACTATTTATATTTAAGAAACAAAACTGCAGCAACACCACAAAAATACAACTTACAGCAACTTACAGGACTTAAAGAAACGTAGAAACAGAGGAGGAAAATATATATAGCCTGATCAGAAAAGTGGTAATGCCAGACTGCAGGTGGAATGAAGACAGCATGAATGTGAAAGCTGAAGGAAATGAGGAAAGTGGGAACGCCTGGGCTGAACGCTGACTGGAACAGGTGAGAGTGGGCGTGGCAGGCTGGTGGAAAAGTACTGCGAGAACAAACAACTATGTGAAAAGAGAACGGTGGTGCACAGAGAAAACCAAAAGAATGAAAACACAAGTGAGTCAGTCAGACACGATAATCACAACCAAGCAGGTCCTTAAAGGAACAACTAAAGTTTTGTAGTGAATCCATGTCAAGATGGCTACCACAGCTTCTCAAACCTAGCAAACACAAAAATGACTAAAGTTGTCCCTCGCTATATCGCGGTTCACTTCTTGCAGCTTCACTGTATCGCAGGTTTTTTATATTGTGTGTGCTGTACATAAATTTAAAGCCATCCAGTCCCTGATGTCAGCAGGCAGTCAAGAAGAAGAGGTTGGATAGAACGTGCACCAGTGTGCTTCAGAGGAATGTACATTTGACAGTCATCGGAATAAAAATGAAAAGGTATGCCGTGTTTACAAAAAATAGAACCTAGTGACAGCAGGTATAAAATAAAAAGAGAAGAGGACCAAGAATGGAACCCTGCGGTACCCCACACCAAAGCGCTGTCGATTTTTTATGTTTGAGTTCATACTCTGGAATGAGTGGCTTTCATGGAAGAACACAAGCGCCTCATCATCAAACAGCAGTGGTGTAAATTGCTGTTACTGTCAAATGTTTGAGCTTTTTGAAGTTATTCAGCTTTATGTAATGCTTCAAAAGTGACAAGCCTCGTATTTGATAACGAAGAGTGCTGAAGCCCATATGTTGCTGCTCCGTCTGTGTTTACTGAGTGTGTGGAGCTGATCTGGAGGTGGCAGAAGGGACAATAAACAAATAAATACTTGGAGTGAAAGTCCCCGTTCACCTCGTGCTGTGCTGCAAGCTGAGCTGGGATCAGATCAGCACATCCCAGCCCGAGCCACCATCAGCGCTTTCCAGCCGCACCGAAGCCGTTCCGTTCTACCTTCACCGGGAGGAATACTGTGAGTGTGAGCAGCGCTGGTTTCCGTGGTAACGCCAACAGCTCAGTCTACAAAAGCAATACAGCAGGAATGTGCTGGACGGGGCCACGGCGTTGGGTAACGTTCGTCTGTTTCATCTCGTTTCAGAGCGGCCTCGAGGACGAACAATGCACCGAATCTGCTTTTGTGCAACGAAGCTGCCATTCATCTAACATCTGGTTGTATTTTTTGTTTTGTTTTGTTTGTCACACGGAATATCTGTGAATAAAAACACAACAATACTGTTCAAACGGCGCTAAAGACACACGATACGAGCACATCGACACACGACAATAAGACTAGATGTGGAGGAAAGATGTGTTTGAAGCAACAAACCCTAAAATAATGAACTCATGTTGAGTTCTCCCTAAATCTATAAACTCTTTGGCGTCTTACAGCTCAATATTAGTGACTCAACCACAGAGTATCAGTAAAAAATTGACCGTTTCCTTCACATATTAAAACCTTATGGAAGTGTGATCAGACTTCTCTCTTGCAACACTAAATCAGATCATTTCCTCCACCAGTCATTGTGTTATTTTCTCTACGAAAACAGTTTTTGGTTCTTAATGATTCATTTTGTGAGATTCACTTTCAGTTTTGTGTAAACATGAACTCACTGCAGTTTTTAGAGCCAAGTCTATTTTCAGATTGCAAAATACCGATATTTAGCTGTGAGACGCTGTCTCTATGTCATCGAGGAAAATACAACTGAACTAAATTTGACCACACAAACATGTTGAAAAAATAAGATCAGAATCTTTTTTTGTGCTACTTTTAGCTTTTAGTTAGTGTTAGCTTAGATAGTCTTTGTCTACTTTAAGTTCACATTTGCTACTTGCAGCTAGCATTTTGCTTCTTTTATCTTTAGCTATATTTTGCTCCTTATTTAGCTAGTGTTCTGCTTTTTTACTTTTAGCTAGTGTATGCTACTTTTATCTAGTCTTTTGCTACATGTAGCTAGCATTTTTCTTCTTTTATCTTTTAGCTAATGATTTGCTCCTCTTAAAAAATAAGAATCAATATCAGTTTTGCTAATTTTAGCTAGTGTTTGTTACCTTAGCTAGTCTTTTGTAACTTTTAGCTACCATTTTCTACCATAAGCTCACATTTACTGTGTGCATCTAGCATTTAGCTTGTATCTTTATTAATATTTTGTTCCTTTGAACTTTTAGCTAACATATACTATTTTAGTTAGCCGTTGCTACTTTTGACTAGTCTCTTGCTACTTATAGCTAGCGTTTTGCTACCTTTAGCTAGTCTCTTGTTGCTTTTGACTAGTCTTTTGCTACTTTTAGCTAGAAATTTAATACTTGCAGCTAGCATTGTACTTGATCTTTAACAAATGGTTTGCTTCTCATCTTTTTAAAGGAAATAAGATTTAGTATTAATTTTGCTACTTGTAGTTTTTAGCTAGGGTTTTTCAATCTTTAGCTATAGCTTTGCTCCCTTTAGCTTCTAACTAGTTTTAGCTTTTCTTTTAGCTTTTAAGTAGAGTTCTGCTTATGTTAGCTTTGCTAACCCAGTTCAGTCCAGTTTGGATGGACGGACGGATGAATCAAACCTAAATACTGTAATTTTTGCTGTATAAGTCACACCTTTTTGCATAAATTAGCATGCCAGCGACTTATACAGCAAAGCGACTTATTAGTTTTATTTCCCCATATTTTTGGCCCAATTTTTGGCTGAGAGCTAACATTTTCATTCATTCTAACATGAAAAATATTGAACACTTCCATTTTCAGCCACTAGAGGGCCCTGGACTAATATGGCAAGCCAAGAGTCTCACTAATAGGTACAAGTGGCTATTAATGAGACATTTGGCTTGCCATACAAAGCCACCTTCGTCTCGCTCCGGAACTCTTGGAGCAAACATCAAATCAGCTGCATTTCACCTGGGCGACACGGTGAAATGCAGCTGATTTGACCATTAAAGTGCATTTATTAAGAAAAAAGTTCAACTGAGACACACCTTTACTATAATTTTGAGCAAACCAATAATTGTTTTGAAGTGTTAATCTCGTTAAATTCTTGTTAAAGTCCTCCCGTGCACGCTCCCGTGGTCGCCATTTGGCAGCCAATAGATTTTTGGCACAACACTGGCCCACGTTTCCGGGTGTTCAGCGGCGACGCATAACAAACGCAACGCGTCAGCGGTGACGCATAATAGATGCTCTTTATACAACAAAGCCACGTATTTATGATCCCCCCCCCCCCACTTTATTAGACATAATTGGACAGATGCGAGGCGGTGTGTCATTTACGGCGGCACGTACCGTATGTATTTTAACAGAAAATTAACAATGATGAAAAAACGGTGTTTCTCATGTGAGCTACAAATGAAAGAACGATGGTTCAGACCCTTCTGGACTCCCTTCGATTACACAACGTTGCTTACATTC